TACCCAATCCCTCCGCCCAGTGGCCTTGGGAGCCCCAGCCCTTGAAGCTCAATCCTTTGGCCCAATGCCCACCGCCTCGATACATCCTTGCACTTCGCCGAATGGCAGACGTCCCCCCAATACTCCGCCATGCTGCATGGGCGTACGTTTGCAGTTGCTGCAGCTCCGCGCGGTTCCAGGTCGCCGTATTGAGCGGCAAAAAGTCGCCGGAGTGCACGGAGCACTCGTCGGCGGCTCGTTCTTCACGTAGGGTCTCCCCACAGGCTGCACAGCGAGAGACGCGGTCGTGGCTCACCCGAGCACCGCGGCCCTCCCAGCGAAGTTGCTTCTGCCATCGTCGGGCGAAGAGCATCTTCCAGTCAATGCCGGCCGACTGAGGTTCTTCCTCCGGTTTCCGAAGAGAAGGCGCTAGCAGGAAAGAGCTCTTGACTGGGTTCTGCACGACGGACTGGGCCATTGCAGGAAAGTGCAGTGCACAGAGCAGTTGCCACAGGCATGTCTCTTTCGCCAAACTGCTCCAAACACATTTGGCCGTCATCTCACAGCTGCACAACTCAACAAAGCCCAGATGTGACGCGACTCTCGACCACAACTCATTGGGAAAAGGAGCGACACCAGCAAAGCTGTCCAAGTCAAAAGCAATCACGGCTCGTGACAGAGCATAGGACAGTGCTGGCGACTCCGGCTTGTTCTGTCCAGCTTTCTTGGAGCTACGATGCTCTCGATGCGGAACGACATCGCGTGCCCGACCCTTGTGGTGAGGCATGACTCTCAGGATGACAGATTTCTCATGCTAAACATTACCAAATGGGACAACAGCCACCGCCTTGCGCAAGAACTTTAAATGCCTAGGGCAGGCATTCACCGGACATCTGCATTTCAGCTGGAGAAGCCTGCTGATGTCCAGCCGGAAGCCTGCCTGCAGCCTCTGTGGAAGAAAGAAGTGAAAAAAGTTGAAGCCAAGACTCCGCTTTGCCTTGGCCTCTCACAAAAAAGTTGTGCACAGTTTCTGCTCTACACTGCGCGGTTCTCAACAAAGAAAGTCCCCCCGCAGCCCGGCCTTCGGCCCTTTCCCAGAGAAGACATCCTGACAAGGAAGGCCATACGCGGAGAGCTACAGTAAGGCTGCTGAGGTCGGCCCGGTCGGCCTCCTCCTTCTCTTCCCTGTGCGAGTATCTCGCAGGAGGAGACTGCGGAACCGGCGGTCCAGCAGAAGCGCCACAGCCCATGCTCACTGGCGACTGAAAACGTGGTCCGGCAGTGAATAAAGATAACTTGGCTGACGTCCAAGCTGGTGTTGTTTCCAGTCTTCTGGCTAGAGTCGATTGCGGTTTCCATGTGCTTCTGGTCCTCTGCTTTCTCATTGCTGCGGGAAGAGCACAACCAGAAAGGAGCAGACAACAATAGCTCGTGGTGGCAGATGGGCAAGCATGGGGCTCCAAAACACGCCTTCTGGATGATGTGCTTGACCGTCTGCAAGCCAACCTGGCACTCCGGCTACGTCGCAACACTAGGGGCTAGCCCAGAACTCGCACCACTTGCCTGCAAGCCTGAGCTGGAGGACCTCAGAAGCAGGACGACGGTGACCGACAACGTACCGCAATGTGGCCAGCATCAGCCCCATGCGATGTTTCGGACACCTGGTGCACCCGAAGCAACTCATCATTCATCGATTCCAACAGCCCGCCGCATAAACGGCTGTCGCTGCAAAAAGGGCACCTGAGCCAGGGAAGCACCCAATCCGGTGACTTTCTTGGAGATCTCCCGCTCCACCTGCATGATGGAAAAATCTGAAGATCCTTCACAAAACCGAGTAAGGGAGCAGCCTCACCCAGCCTCTGCCTCGCGTTCCTTCAGCTCCTGCTGCTGCTGAGCGAGGGAGGCCTGCTGCGCCTCAGAAACAGAGGGCCCCGCTGCCTCCCTGATCGCCTGCGACCTCAGCGACCGTGGCCCGTGCAGCAATCTGCTCGAGAGCCTGCGAACAGCCCACCACTTTCTCCGGTTTCTTCGGGACTGCTCTTTCTGCACGCGCCTGCTCCTGTGATAGTAAGGCAGACTGCTCGGCACTGAGGAGGGTTTCCACACGTTCCTTGCAGTTCTTACGCAGGTTACATGTCGCAGCCTTCCAGCGCTGCAAGACGTCCCGATGCCTGGCGCCCTTGCATGGATCCATCCGAAACCTGCACCGGCATGATTCACACTGCTTGCGAGCGCCACACTTCATCGGACTCGATGCCTCTAGCAGGGAAGCGCCGATCTTTCCGGTGCTGCCGTCGACCTGTGAGCACGCACTCGACACCTAAAGGTCTCTAAAGGCAAAGAACGAGCACAGCGAAGCAAAAGTCGAAGATCATGCTTCAGCACTCTGCGTGGTTTGCGGTTCATGGCAGCTCGGTGGCGCCCCTACTGTCAGCTATTCGATGCATCTCTTTATGATAATGGAACGGTACAGTCTCGATGCGTAGGTTCATGTACCCTGCGATGCTCCGAGACCCCTTGTAGAGCCAGCAATCTGAAAACTCCGACTCGAGTCGGAGTCGCATTCTCCCCCCATGAAAGTGCTTCCTGTAGGAGTTCTGGAGGCCTCTGGGGGGCCCCAAGGCCGAGGGTTCTGCATCCACTGAGTGGCAGGGAAAGCCCAATTCACGGGAATGGACTGCTGCGGTGGCGTCTTTGGTTGCTGTGGATATCGGCCAAGGTTGGCCTAGACTTGGCGGCTTCGGAAAGGTGGCTCAATGCCTATGCAGTGCATGCACCAAGATCTTGCGACGAAGCGACAGTTTGCTGCAGTCCCGTGCTTTGCTACTTGTGCCCACACCTGCTTGGCTCGGCCCATCGTTTCATCGTCGTACAGTGAAAAAGCTGATCTCGATTCATGCTGAGCCGAGCTGAGCCTTGATCCCAAGCATCTTGCAAAGGCCAGGAGATGCCAGAAACGGACGCTTTCGTGTCTTGGCTTCGGGTGTTCCCCCCGTGCCTGCGCCGCCAGGAGCCCGGAAGTATCGACGTTCGGCCTCGCGAAGAAGGCAGAAGAAAAAACGGCTGGCTCTTCGCCGAGCCGCGACTCTGATCTGATCAAGGGCGGGATGCTGAAAGGACTGAGTCTCCACTGATTTTTCGGTGCGTTTGTGTTGCACAACAGCTGCACGAAGATGTGGCAAGCTTGCAAGCAAAAGGCCTACCTCTCTACGATCTGTTTGCAGGAAAATAGTTAAGCAATGTTCCCCTTGTGCAAAAGGACTAGTTTCCGTAATCGTTCTGAGGCTACGAGAAAAGAGTGTCTCATGAGCTTCACGCACACTCCGACAGCTCCCAGCCACATCAATGCTCGAAAGATATTGGTTGGGGATGCCTAGCTTCCGGCTCGGCAGGGCTACAGGATGCAGCCGAGGCACGGCATTGCCTACAAGCCGATACTACATGAACTGCAGGTTGCTTGGGGTGCCAAAACCATGGAAAACTCATCAAAACCCCGACAACCTAGCTTTAAAACCCAGGGGGCAAGTAATGTGTTATTTCTGCGTGTAGTACCCGAAACACTAAACCGAGGCTCTTAGCCGAGCTGGCCTTTGCTCCACAGACAGGCCGCAGGCCAAGGCCAGGAAACACCAGGCGCACAGGGCCTTAGGCGGAGGCTGCGCAAGAATCACGAGAAAGATGATTCAGCCCTTTTCCGCTCTTCTTGTATATGTATATGTACACATCTTGTATGCATATACGGTTGCGCATACATGTATATGCATGCATGTATATGCATACATGTATGTATATATATATATATATATATATATATATATATTCATTTATTCATTTAATTATAAGTTAAATATGTCTCAATATATATATATAGAGAGAGAGAGAAAGAGAGACAGACACTAACGCAGGACCCAGGATCGACTCTTCTGTATGTATGTGTGTATGTACGTGTGTATGTACCTATGTGTATGTATGTATGCACCTACCTATGCATGCATATATGTATGTAAATGTGTACGTATGTATGTATGCATGTATGTATGTAAATATTATTAGCCATATTAAGCATGTATAAGCTCCTACTATATGTATACATATATACATACATACATACATACATACATACATACATACATACATACATATATATATATATATATACGTATACATGTACATACATACATACATACATACATATATATATATATATACATACATACATACATACATATATACATATATACATATATACATACATACATATATACATATATACATATATACATATATACATATATACATATATACATATATACATATATACATATATACATATATACATATATACATATATACATATATACATATATACATATATGTATATATGTATATATGTATATATGTATATATGTATATATGTATATGTATGTATGTATGTATGTATGTATGTATGTATGTATGTGTGTGTATATATATATATATATATGTATGTGTGTGTATATATATATATATAATATCATCTTTCTTGTTTGAGGACTCCTTTCAACTGGGTGAGGGAGGCAAGACATCTGTCCGGCAGTGCCCTGAGTGCCCTGGTGAGCTCGCGAAGAACAAACTTGGGAACGAGTACCCGGGAAACTGCTGTCGCAAATCCTTGGAAGCCAGAGGCAACCGCGAAGCAACCGGAAACCAGCAAAACATGTGCACGGAAACCAGTACTGGGTAACTACGCTGGAGCTGTTGCTGGCAGACAGCTTGGCTTCAAGAACTGTCATCGGCATGCGGCCTGCTTCATTGCACAGATGCAGATCGGGATCCACACTGAGCCGAATCACGGCTGCACGGCCGCCCAAGTATCTACATAGCACACTGAGCAACCCTTACGTGTCACTTGTAAGCATACAAAAACCTCAATAAATGTCTGACTGGTACGATACGCACACCGTCCAGTTGCCGTGGAGGCCAGCCGAACGTAAATTCACACACATCACGAACAGGAACATGCAATCAATGGTGGCAGCCACCTGACGAATCCTTTCGTCTTTCCACTGATTCGCATCCTCACCCTGGGCAGAGCATAGCAGCACTTGGACTGGGGGCAGTTCGGATCCACTTGCGCACCAGAGCTGGCCTCGTAGTTGCGATTCAACACTTTGCCCCTCGCCATGGCACAGCATGCCCTCGTCCTCCATCGAGATCAAGAAATCTAAAATAAGCTGAGGGCCAGGCTCGTAGCCAAGAGTAGGCCTGCCCTCCAGTCCAGCGCGTGAGTCGAGAGCGCCGTGACACTTCGCGCCGCTGCCCTGCCTTTATGCCTTTTCCTCGACTCTTGCCATAGCCAGGAAATCCCTGGTAGGGATTGAAACCAGACCTCAGGGCACGCCATCCACGTGAGAGCACAGCTATTCAATGAACAATTCAATCGATTGAGCGGAAGATGTGATCCCGGCGAATACATACGTGAACCGGCGCAAGCTAGGGACAGCGGTTCACCCTCTTCGTTGAGTTGCGCTACTTCCATGGGGTATACTTTTCTGCCCTTGGTCATCACCTGGGAGGCGACTTTGAAGGTGTTGAGCATTCCTGTGAGTGCATCCCTAGCTCTTCAACTGTTGAGCCATCAGAACAGCTTCCCGCGTCAAGAAAGCGCCTTTCGGAGGCTCTCGTCAAACTTACAGCTCTCGCCATCGACTGTCGGGAACACGACGGCGGGTCGACTGAGGTATGATCTCCGTGAAGTGTTGTCGCGGCCGATGCTCATGTCCTCCACCCATCGCCAACATCTCTGCATTAGCGAACCACTCCAGTTTCAGTAGTCTTTGCTTTCGAGCTGCATGCCGCTTTCTATCTGAGTCTTCCATAGTAGATCATACTTAGGTACTTGGGTGTCCGGCTCGGTTGTGGAGTACATTCCACTCTTCAGTATGCATGTGATGGGTGCGACGGTGATTTTCCTGGACTCAAGCAGCATTAACTTCGCCCGCTCAGACGTGAAATCTCCAAAGGCTCAGCAGCAGAAGCCTCCCAGCTGGAGAGGGTAGCCGCTTTAAGCCCAAGCGAAACCCAAACGCCAAAAGCCGAAGCCGTGAAGCTGAACTCAAAAACAAGCTAAAGTCATGACAAGGCTTTGAAGGCTGTAAATGAGTCAAAAGATAAGTTTTCGGCTCGCAGGAATTAGAGGATGTTCAGATTTGAGGACTTCGGGATCCTCAGGGTTCAGGCTGAGTTTCTCATGTTTTCGGGATCTTGATTCTTGATCTTGCTGCTGTTGACTCGTTGAAGAAAGGACTGCCACTGTCTGCTTTCTGTTCTAGGTGGGCATAGGCATAGGCTTGCTGAATATCTGCTGCTTACTCCTGCGTGTTGCTGGAAGTCTCTCGCAAGCAGAATGCAGGAATTCCGGCGAGTGTCACAGCCGTGTGCAAACACTGTACCTGCAGGCACACCGGCTGTTACACTGTTGGGCCTTGGCGGCAGCTGCAGCTGACGGCCCCGGAGAGGACTGCAATGAGATATTTTATTGCATGCACGGTCTGAGAATGAACAGTTGCCCTGGCCTTCTGGTTGTACATCCAAACTCCAATTAGGCACGTACAAACTCCGATGGCTTGCTCCAAAGTCAGGCTATTCCTTGCTGCGCGACTGACGGGCGAGGCAATGCCACAATGCCACCACACCAAGTACTCACGCAAAGTCCTGAAAATCGCCACTGAGACGGCAATGGAGAGGCAGCTCTTGACATTGCCAAGAACTTGGAGAGTGACCTGGTCTTGTCTTATCTGACACTTCCAACCTTGCAAGCCCACGCTGGGCGCCGCACAGGGCTGGTGTAGGAGGTTACCAGAAAGTTGGCGATGTTCAGGAGGCATGCGTTCAAGCCTGAGACTTGAGAGAAAGTGATCCACTCGGAACGGCTGCCGTCCGCCGAGTCCCACCTGAAAGCATCAGGAGGAAAACCACTTGGCCGGCGCCAGTTACGCCGCCGTCTCCATCTGTCCCCAACCTGGCCATTTCCAAAGACACTAGCCAGCCAAGGGCACCCGCCATCTACTTCCAAGCAGATTGGCACTAAACTTGCCACGAGGTCCCTTGTAGGTCGAACACCGCCAGTAACAAGAACAAGGGCTCGCCGCCCTGCACTGCGATGCTTGCCACTACGTGCGGAGCCGCTCAGAAAGACAGTATCTGTCATGCGCATCCATGCCGGCCTCCATGAATAACATAATCAAAGTTAGCCACATGGCTGCCCACGGAGCCATGTAGTACCTAGGCAGACCCCGGATCGACTCAGGAGCTCTCAGAATCTGACACTCAAGTCACAAAGGCGTAAAAAGTCTCAGGGCGCGATGCCATGCTGCCATGCGTGCTTCAGACACACAAATCGCCTTTGTCATTGCATGTCCGCTGCCACGCAGCATATTGTGAGCGACGGTCTGTGCGCAGAATTTCAATGCTCGGCTTTCCCTGGGCTAAGACCAAATCTCACCAGCATGAGATTCAGTTGAACCGTCTCGCTCCGAGTTTTTCAGCGGATCTGAACATTGTGTTAGATGTCGTCGACCGTACGTTGAACCAAAAGGGTGTGTTCTCCGAAGACCGGCTAGAAGGAGGGCCAGTGCTGGGGCAAATTCCCGCATGGCATGGCCCAGCGACCTACCACAACACGCCGGCTCAGAAGCGGAAGCCCTGGGCCAGTCATCCACCGCTTTTTTCGGGGCTCGGCTCCGCCGGTGCCCGCCATGCTTGGGTGCCGCCGCGTCACTCAACTAAGCTGACACGCAGGCACGGCGGCTGAATGCCCTGTAGCGGCGCGAGCCGCGGGCACAGGGTGCAAGATTAAGACGAAGGACTTACGGAAGTCTCGGTGGATCTCGTGGTGGCATAGGGAGAGTATGCTCCCTCAAGAAGCTGAAGATAGTCGGGCCGGAGTTACGGCGGTTCGTCATCAAAGCTAGCTGGAGCTTGGTTACTGCCTCCCACCGTACAGTGTGGTTCCACCAACTGCAACTGAGCCCGAAACAGCAGAGTTACCTGAGCTGATTTCAGAAGGCCGTCACAAACAATTCATATGAGCGCGTTGCAAATCAGAACTCTGGCCACAGCCAACGTGCCAATTTGAACCGAAATTTAGAGCAATGCTGATGGCAAGATGCAGAATCCATCTGGTGGGAGGTGGACAGGAGCCTCGCAGATTAAAGCATCAGCACCCCTGCAAACAGTAACTTTAGCGGGTGGCCCCTGCCTTCCTTGAATGAGAGATTTCACCGCTCGAAGCACGGTAGCTCCGCTGGCGTAAAATGCACCGAGCGCATTGAAGTTGAGCTCCTGAGTGCTAGCAACCCAGTGTCGACCAGAGCATGTGGGATGAGATCAAAGAGATTCGGAAAGCCATGAGACACATAATTTTAGCCCAGCCTCCTTGGCGCTGCAAACTGCAAGCCCAACACAAATGACAGGCATGGACAGCCACGTCTTCAGCGGAAAACGCTTCTGCTGCATCACCACGGCCAGGAGTACTGTGATCAGTGGTGACATGGATCCTGGGCTGCTTGTCTGCTTGTTCAAGTTCTGGGCGTGATGTGACCACGACAGCCCAGCTGGGAGTAAGCGCCGGTCCCAACATCTGGTTGAAGGAGGGATAGATATACTTCAGGGATAGGTTGCCCATCGCCACAGAAAGTGCAAAGCAGAGCGAAAGAGGCATGATCTCCCGCGCTTGTTGCGCCAGTCCCAAGGTTTTCCCTGGCAAGGACGGAGCATCCGGAAACTCTTGAACCCAGCGCACCTGCCTTCCAGACCTCTGCGAAGCTGAAATATGTACACTCTGCACAGCATCCAGGAAAAGATCATGTGGATCACCTGAGAGAGGGCCAACATTCTATTCACAATCCAGTGGCTCCTAATTACTCGACTTCTCCGATGCAAAGAAGAGGCTGTGATAGCCACCGGATATTGATATGTGGTACATCCCTTGTCCTGCCATGGATCAGCATCACGATCTCACGGGTTCGTATCCACAAAAGATCCTGCAAGCATATTCTGCCGTGAACGAAGATCCACTTCGTTGAACTTGCGATTGTGATGTTCAGGACGAACCAGGAAGTCACCACGGCCGCTGTTTCCAGCTGCCGCCGCCATGCGCCCTGCGAAAACCATGCATGCGCACAGCTCCTCGGTGAATGCCTGCCACAGGTCTTGGCCTTCTCATCGCGAGCATCGGAAGGTGCTGCACCAGAAGGCATGCACTCCGACAGCCATCCTCCACAAGAGAAGGAAAGTTATCTTAAAGTAGAAGCTCTTGCATCGTGGGCTTGTTAGCGGTTCATGCCCATGCCCATGCCTGAACCCGTGCCGGGGCTCTGGCGTAATCGTAATGACATGTCTGAGCCAAAAGGTCACAAGGCTCCAGCTTTAACCAACCTTCGGACCACGATAACAAGAAGCGCTTCGTAGCAATCTTGAGTTGCTGAAATGACTGAACAAAGCACTAACGTGTTTTCGGCGGCGCAGACTGCCGCATGCAACGACAAGCGGCCAAGCTACTACTCACAGCTTTCGAGCAGCATGCTTGCGTCGCCGAGAAAATCACCTCCAAGAGATTGGCGTCTTGCCCTCTAATGCTTCAAAATTCGCAGAGAGTCAGGGGCCACAAGTAAGGACCTGCACGCCGTCTTGTTTTTCGCTTCCAGCCTTCACGTGGGGCAAATACGGCCGAAAATGACAGGCGCACAAGCCTGCCTGGCAGGGCTAGAAAGAGTGCAGCCGGTGGTATCGCCTGGAGATCACAACATGCGAAGCGGCGGTCCTCTGACTTTTTGAAAGAACCTGCTGCACCTTCTTCACACCATCCTGGAGCATCATGGAATGTCACTGCAGCAACATCTGCAAGCAGGAAGAAGCAGCTCGGCATGTCCTCTGGAACTAGGGGCTTCTCCTCGCCAAAAACACACAAACACTCGCTACCTGCGTAGAATAGTTGCTGAACTCATCCCGCCTCTTCCTTCATCAGGTCCTTCACCTGAGCGACACTTCAGCAGGTGGCCTGGGGCCCGAACACAAGCTTCACTTCGCCAAGCGGCACTAAGCGCACCTTTGGCTGCTGGCGAAGATGTCTTTGCCTGGCGAACCAGTGCCGACAACGTCCCACCATTCGTCCCACTTGGGTGCACACCAAGGCAGTAGCCTGATGATCATGCTCACGTTCGAGCTCTGCTTCTCTTTCGAGCCTTGTCCGAGCTTTCGATATGACTACAAGTGAGAGCCCACGAATTGGTGGAAAAAACGAAGAAATCGCCAGACGCGAACAGGAATGAAGAACATGAGCGCATCTGCAGGATGCGGATAATGCAAAACAGAACAACAATGGAAACGATGCGCTGGCTATGCAAGACAACTCCGAAGATCTCTGACAGCTCGCTATATGTCAGGATTCTTGCAAACAGACTCCGGAACCACGAACAGATTCCGGAATAGGGATGGATGGCAATGCTAGACAGCTGGATGAGGCTGAGGCAGACTGGGGGGTCCAGGATAAGGACGCTGCTGAAGTGTCGATAAATGCCGCTGTCTGCGTGGCTACGTCGCTGCTCCAAGCGGCGCCGCGTTCGGGTTAATCAGCTGCTGACCGCAGTGGCCGACCACCACCGGGGGTTCATGCATAATAAGATATGCACACACATGAGTTTGACATGCGCATAAAATCAAAAGGGCGACGAGGACTTCCCTGCCCATCTACCCTACATTTCGGCTTTGCCTGGCGGGCCTGGAGGGTCTAGGCCTGGAGTTTCAAGGGTAATAACCCCGAAGCTTTAAACCGAAGAAGGGCCTTCAAGGATGGGGTGTCTAGGGTTTAAGGCATAGATTCAGAATAGGCTTATGGTTTAGAAAAGGGTTGGGACTCAGTAGAGTTGTGCAGAAATAAACCTGCAAGCCATTGATGGGGTTTGAGTATAGTTTAAGATGCTGTTCCTTCACTCAGTGCATTTGGGGTTCCTGGTTCAAGGTCTTAAGGTACTTGTTACTTGTAACATAATTTACACCCCCTATTTACCTAGCTGGAACAGATAAAGGTAGTTTCCAACAACCCTGAACTTGAACGTTGAAAGCCCCATAGGACAAAGAACCCTCGTAACCCCTAAGACCACCTGCACGCATTTGTGCAGCAACTCCGGCGCACACCCTGTGTGCGCTCCACTCATACCCCGCCCACATGCGCGCACACCACCTCGCGATCTGAGCCTTGTCAGGCAATGTCCCGCCATACCAACTGAAACGTTGGCCCAGGCCCACAGGGCTTGGAAAGACCGCAAGCTGACGAGGCCAGCAAGCCGGACACCTTCACGTAAGACTTGCTGGCTCGTAGACGGTGGCTTCGTGGCTTTGTGTGTTTCGTGGACGGGCTGGGTGGGTGGGAAGTTAAAGAGTGCGTGGGTTGGCTTTCGACTTGGTTGGGCGGTGGGTGGGATCATCTTTGTGGTTTTCCTGTGCATTCTTGGAAAACAAAGCTGATTCGTTTCTGTGAATCGTATGCAATGAAGACGCAAAAGCCGGGCACCAAACAAACAAAAGATCCATTAAACTTCGAATCGTCACACGATGCGAAATGTAGTTTCGACGAATTTCACTTTGGGGCGAACGATTGAACTTGAGCCTGCAATCAAACAGATTGCAACTTTACTATCATATTGAGGTACCCCAGATTCGCTGCATCAGGATCGGTACGCAGCCACATCTCGGTGTGTATTCAACTACTGGCTAGCGGCCAATTTGCGTGTGCGTGCGTGTTTCGTACTTCCGCGACTCTTCTCTATTCCGCCTCTGAGCAGAAGTGCATATGCGGTGGACATGAGGTCTATTGCGGTAAAGTGTTTTGCAGCAAAGTGCAAATGCTTCTCGGTCAAGCACCACCGGTTGGATTCGTTCATTTAGCGCCCCTCACACACAAGGGCACTCTCTGTGTGTTTGTGAGTGTGGACTTCTCTCGTCCAGGACCAGGAGATAAGGGGCTCATCACCCAATTTCTGCAGGGGGGCGGAGGACCGTCACTCCTCACGTTCATCTTCATCTGATTTCGTGCTACATCATTCCCTGTGTCTGATGTAGCGGGGCAGGACCCTTACCCCATACGAACAATTTCCTGTTGTTTTGCATGCCATTCTTGATGTCTGGCATGCTTGGTACAAACCTGTCATGTCATAAGTGCGGAGACGCGCCGGCGTCCTAGCTCTTTCGATATCATCATCATTATCAACATCATCGTATTTCACCACTGCATAAATAGAATCCGTCCGAGAGTGCAGTCTGTGTGTGTGTGTGTGCGAGAGTCTGTCTGTCTGTGAACTCACTACCAAGAGTGATCCTGGACATCACCGAAGCGTTGACTCTGTCGAGTGATAGGACAGGAAGGTGACAGTGGCAGGCTTCCGCCGCTACAGCTGCTCTGCATGCTACTGTTCTGCGTGATGCGACCCGGGGGCACAAAATTCCAAAGGCTACTGCGCAGGTCTTCTGGGCGGTTTCTTGCACTTCTTTTCCAAATTGAAGACCTGAGCAAACCCTGCACTTATCCAGGGACCGGCTTTCTGCACTGAGTGTCGGAGCACATCTCAACCGAATGGCCGCGATGCACTCCGAATTCCGTCAGCCAACCCGAATCGAGGTGCCCTCCCGGACATGGACATTGCTGTTGATACTTTCTGTGCTTCCTTAAACTTCCAACTTGTGTGCCATGATGCAGGAATTCCTTGTTCGTGGCCTCTAGCCTCTAGCCCACTCAACTTTACTGAGCGCACAAACAAACCCTGCCACAGGTTTGAAAGAAGCAGAGCGTGAGCAGAGCGTCGCACTGAGGCCCCGACTTGCATTCGCCGTCCCGCTTTCTCAAGTCACCCACCTGGCTGGAGAAAAGATACGACCATGGAGCCGAATCTCATCTCCAGGCACAGGAGCTCGAGCCAAGCCACCGCTTGGGCATAACCATCGTCGTGGCTGTAGCAGTTGAGCCTCTCACAGGTGTCCTGAGCACGAAGGGCAACACTGCAGCGCATGCGATGGGAGCAACACGCACATCAATGGACCTTCCGATGAAACTCGCAGCGCAGAAGCTCTCCTTCCATGCACGGCCCTCAGCTCCTACGATCCTCTGAGAGTCCGCAGAACGTGTGACCTGATGATGGAGATCTTCGAGGAAAGGTGCCAAGCTCTCCAGGCGCCAGGGTGGCCTAGGCCACAGAGCAAAAAGCACGTGTGGACATGCTGCCAGCTGCTGCCAGGCCGGCCTTCCTGAGTGCCTGGCCTGCAGTGTCTGCATCTCCTTGCACATTTTCCTGGCTGATTGTGCCTGTCCAAAAAAGGGATGCCCAAGCACAGCAGCGCCAACCCTGCAGAAAGTGTTTCCAGAATCAGAACTGTCGGAAACGACTCCACTGGTCGAGGGCGGCCGATGCTAAAGCCGTCTGTGCTTGTGACAGAGGAACTTCATTATTTGCACCTCCGCTGAGCAGGATCTGCATATTTCGTGATGATGGAGCCAGGTTTGCCATGTGCAGTGGGTCCAGGTTGTGGTCGCTCCCTGAGGTACTCATCGATGCAAGGGAGCCTTGCCATTCTGTCAAACCAACTGCGCAGCTTACATCCCAGCTTCGCGGCACATCCGGGGTCCACAAGTCTCAGGGCATCAACGACATTGAAAAGCATGAACTCGCCGTAGTGCGGCACGTCTCCCGCAAAGAACTGCGCATCACCTAAGCATGCCTCCCAATGCTGGAGGGAGGCAAGAACGTCACTGTATGGCGGGAGGTTCGACAGATTGCCGTGATACGTGTCTGGCTTCTCACCTCGAAGAATGGCATCGGTGACCTCTTCCGGATAGGATGCCAGCATGCAACCTGGGAACATAAGAGGGTAGGTGTTCGACGCCACGGCCATTTCGTGAGCTTGCTCGAGCTCTTTGCCCTGCAAGGCCGGAAACTTTCCCGGCGATGCTTCCTCAGAAATCAGGCGGGCGATGTCCGCTGTCTCCGGAACCAGCTCCCCAGTTGCGAGCTCCAGAACTGGCAAGCCTCTGTTGCCGACGGGTCGAGTTGATACACCAGGCACGCCCTTGCCCTCAGGCATCAACTTCTTTGCCTCATTCCATTCCTCCGGGCTGTACAACTTATCAACATACGGAATTTCTGCAGCTCGCAGTAGCATTCGCAAAGCTTCCGCCCGACCACGTACCGGAAAATAGTGAATGGTCACTCCGGCATCGAGTCTGCCAAAGTGCTGTCCAAACTTACTCCTGCCACGTCCGTGGAATGATTTGCCATCACGGCCCCACTGCGAACCATGCGCCACGAACTCATAGTTCGCAATAATATCTTTGTCTGGCAGGTTGCCATTCTGAAACTCCGGCAGCCCCGCAACAGTCTTCAACAATTTCTCTATGCGTGGATCCGACAGCAACTGAAAGTCACGGAAATGTAACAAACCTATGCTCAAGCGGTGAAGGAAGGGTGCACAATGCACATCCGCTAAGGAAACTCTGCTCCCAACACAGAAGTCGCTCTCCTTGCTTAGGACAGCAGAGAACTTTTGCAAGCTAGACTTGATCTTGTCAGCCCAGTCTTGGTCCTTACTTCCATCCTGGTTGCGCAGCAGGCCAAACAAGCCAGGAACTACCTCGTTGAACTTCTTCATAACCAATCGGACCCGACTGGCTTGCACGGGGTCAGGTGGAACAAGCTTCGGGCTGGGGCTGTCGGAGACCAAATCAAAATACTCTGCCAAGATTTCAGACTCCGTGATGACGGCTCCATCAGCTGTGCAGAGACTCGGCACTTCCCCGCTGGGATTGATTTTCTCAAGATATTCCTGTCGAATTGCCTTGATCTCTGCGACGGTCTTACTCTTGAAAGGCTGAGATCCTCCCTGAATCGCCTCGACTCCAAGCTTCTCCGCGAACTCTACTTGCCGACCGTATGGCACATACTGTGTTTCCACTTCCACCGGTCTCAGTGCGCGAGCAAACATGGCTCGATGACAAAAAGGGCAAGAGTTGTTGGTGAAGTGCTTCGCCATGCCCTCCCGCCGGACACCCAGCAGAGCAGCAGAGCACCGGCTCAGGACTTGTGCTTGAAAAGGCTCTGTCGGCATGCTGCGGCTCTGTCGGCTCTCTGCCAGAGCAAAGACACGACTGCTGTCACAGACACAGACACAGACACTCACCACTCCGCGCACTTCGACCCTCGCCTTGACGTATCTCGCTTCGAAGAGCTGCGAGCACTCCTCCGTCGGAGCTCCCGGTCCCCAGCGAGTCTTGAGCTTCGCTGCCACCGCATCCATCAGAGACCTCTCAAGCGACGAGGGCGGACACGTCAAGAGGAATCCGCCCAGAGCCCAGAAGGGTCAAGAGTCCCAAAAATATTGCCAACACATGCCAAGCTGCTGAATTCTTGGAGCAGCCGTCTTGTATGCCTTGACCCAGGCCTGAGGAACTCAGCCCACGGACTGAAAAGCGCTGCGCGCTTGCATTCTGCAGCTCCTCGTTGGAAAGAGGCTCCGTGTTTATCTGGAACGGAAAGACCTGTCCGCCTCAGTGGGAGCGCTTCGGAAAGCAAACCCGCAATGCAACAAGCTCCTCCAAGCCCGGGGCCGTTCGCATCCTCTGCTTCCATACCATCAGGTTCCGGATCCCACCTCTACTCATTTGCAGTGTGAATCAGGCAGCAAACAAAGTAGCACACATGCCAAAGTGCCGAGTTGCAGCGGGTATTGAGGAATGGTCCACAGATCCTGTCCAGGGTCAGGTCGAAAGATGTCTTCGATGAAAAAATACCTAGAAAGCGAGAGCGCGCCTGCTCCTCGGCTCGCTTGCCCTGCAGCAAGACGAAGTTCTTCTTCCGATACTCCTCCTGGCGCGTGCAGGCGTGCAACCCCAACACCAGATCACAACAGCCAATCTGTGCAGAGCACGGCCCTCGAATTCTGCCAGGGCGACCCCCGCCTTTGGCATCTCGGCAGCATCAGCAGCGGCAGCTCCGGGTGGCTGGGAAGGCAAGGCAAAATTCTTCGCGACAGTTCGCAGACCCGCGCGTTCGGGATTGCCACGGCCTGAAAGTCCTTGTCGAAGCACGCGAGAGTCCTCAGGACTTGCACGTAGTCTATGAGCGAGGGCCTGAAATTGCACAACAGTCGCCGAGGCACGGCCGCCCGTCCAAGTCTTTCGTGCCGTAAGCGCAGTTCGCACATTCCGAACATTGCTCCTGCGCTGCAGCAGGTTTTGCACCAAGGCTCTGGTGGAAACGACCGCCCAGTCCCAGTTGCTGCTCAGCGCTAAACAGTCATCACCTCAAACACTTGGGGCCGTCCAAAGCTGCAGAGAAAGATTCTTCCGAGGCAGAGACAGTGCGGAAGTGGCTGAACTTGAAAGTTACCCATGACCACCTCCACTCCTCCTGCGCGCGTTCCATGCATCTTGAGTGTGCCAGCCTGCTGGGACTCTTTTACGAAGGCTTGCCGGTGTTCAGCGGAGCGGTCCGGCATCACTTGAGTCGCCCTCGGTGAACTCCGGAAGAATGTCGCGGCTCCGGTACCTTGCAGTTGAATCACCACCAGTTTCTACTGAAAGCACAAAGCCCCTAAAGCCTCTGAACCAATGCCTTGCTGCCGAAGAGCCCATACCCGATTGACCCATCACTCGTGACCGGCTTCACGCACATGCACCTCAGGAACGTATAGTGCACGTCTGGCTCCTGCCCGGCTAGACAGCAGGTGAGGCGCTTGTCGCCAGAAGTTCCACAAGGAGTCTTTGGCCCAGCCTGGGAAGCCATTCTAACAGGAAAGGAGGAGCTGGCGTTGATGTCCGGCATTGCATGAAACTCCAGGCCCGGACGAGCATTGCGTTCTGGGACCAGCACATTCCTGTAGAGAACTGATGCGGGCTTCAAGCGGCAACGCCCCAAGAAACTGCCGCAGCTGGTCCTGCTTCGGCTTCTTCACCTGAGCGACGAGAGAAGAGTCGCCGATCACAGTGCTTGCGCTGCCGGGACCGGAACGCCATCACCGGTTTAATCATCTTCAGACGGGTGGCCTGGCTTTGGTGGGTGGCACTTCCCAGTGGAAGTCATGTTGCCTGTGCACGATAGGCGAGCATTCTGAATGTAAAGCCGATGACATCCAGCTGCAGACCAGTTGCCGGCCTCTTGCTGGACAACCCCACTCCCACACATCCCTTTGCTCGAATCTGGCAGGTAGCTTCGGCGTAGTGACGCGCTTGTACTCACCTCCGTCAAACACTGCCATGGAGGTTGTCTTCTTACAAGTAGCAGACGAGAGAAATGCCAAACTTGGGCAACTGCCATTGTGCTCCATGCCGAACTCGCTGATTTTCGACCTTGTTCGACGACTGTGCTTTGGGGCGCACACCAAACCGCCCTCGATCCGAGTTCTCTGGCATACATCGAAAGCCAGGAGCACATCCCACATTCTGAGAAACCTTCTCCACCTTCCTGATGCTGAGGCAAGGCATCCAAGGCAAAGTCGCAGGCACGATGAATAAACGGCACAGCTGACGTTCGCATGATCTGCCAGCTGCCAGGTGGCTTCAGCCCCTCCTTCGGGTTCGGGGGTGGCGCTCCACCGCTTGCCTCAGCCACAGCGGAGCGCAAGGCGCTCAGAGAGATGAACCGCGATTTGCAAAACGCATCACTTCTTTTGCTCGGTCTCTAGACCTCCTGAAAACTTGATCTCTGCGGATGCCGTCGGATGCTCCAGGCACTGCCTGCCACAGAGCACAATTCAAGCAGACTTTGATGTTTGTTGCCACTCCTTCTTCAAGGTGAGCACCCCCTGCAGGACCCATATTCCGCAGCAGCTGGCCGAGGCCCATCTTGGGCATCACATCACAGCTTAGGCCATGGATTCTGGCCGCGATCTCGCGCGAGCACTGCGGTAGCGGACTCTCTTCTTTTCTTTGCTTTGCTGAACACCGGACTCTTACCTGGACTCGTTTCCAAGTATCGAGAGACTCATGAACCTTGGCGTGGTGCCTAGGTTGCCGTTAGCGTGGCCGTGCACCATGGCGTGATCCTACGCGATCCCAGACTTGAGAAAACTTGCTGCAAGAGTGAACGATGCTTAGCAGATCGATGCTTGTCGGACCCGTGTGCTGACATGTCCTTGTAAAGCACCTTCCTTGGCCCCTTCGCAGCGAAAAATCATGAAAAATCACGACAGTCTTGCAATGGAATGTCCGAACCAGTTGATCTGCCGTTGCACCTTTTGAGGGAACGTGGACTCAGACATGCTCTTGTCAACAAGGTGATCCCATGCGTGCAGGTCGTTCGTTTTCCAATCCGTTGAAGCCGCATTGATGCGTGGCTTCGCAGGCTTCTCATGAAAAACCTTAGCGCTGTGGGCTAAGTCCAAAACACACCGCGGAAGACACTTGCTCAAAAGAAACTGTGCCGGGCACCTAAGTTGTTGATGGCAGCCTGCTCGAGAGTAGGTGGTCACGGTGGCTGACCAGCCGCCAGCCTGCTTAGGTGTCACTGATGTGAACAAAGCTTCTGGTAAGTAGGTAACAGGAAACAACAGGCCTCCGTTTCCAGCTTGTTCCTCTCAGCATTGGCAAACAGCGTCATTGCCTGGTTGAGACATGTCCACACCATGTCAGATGCTTCAAGATTCTTATCGTACTTTTTGCTTGATACCAAAAGGGCTGGTTTGTGCTTCCGAGGTGGCATTCTTGTGGGGTAGCTTCAGCATGCCACTCTGGGGTAATCTGGGAGCTGGCCGCCGGCCGAAGTCCAGGGACAGAAGTGATGCATCGAGAAAGCCTGTGATGCCTAAGCCATGCTTGTTCTGCTGCAAATCAAAGCTTTCCGGTCAGTGCTATATCCATAGTCATCAGTGTTCCTGGGACCTGCCTTTTCAATTTGGAGGCTACCTTGGACCTTGGAATGTGATCACCAGAAGATCGAACCAATCCAGTGAAGACCACGGTGGAGATGGTACACAGGCCCCAACGCACATCCTTTGCCGCGCGCGCGTTGTGTTCCGATCGAAGAGCCGCCCGAGTCTTTCCCGTCTGCACGCCCCAGCCCCCAACATAACCACCGGTTGACACACCACACCTGGGTGCCCGGCCGTGCGCCAGTGACCGGCGCGGCATGCACCGAGAGCTGCGTCGAACGACTGGCCATCCAGCTCCACCGTTGCCTGGCAGTGGCAAAACTGTTCGCAAGATCCCGCAATGTCGAAGAAGAGCTGCTGCTCTGGTGATGCATCATGAAACAGACAATCAATCTTTCCGCACTCACAGCCTCCGCCGCTTCATGCAGTAGCCTGCAAAGTTACAGATGTGCTAGGAAGCCCCTTGTGCCAGCAGGCTTTGCAACAAATGTACAGAGGGGTCACCGTCGAAACGTTTCGGGCCTCATCGCAGCGTGCCACCAACCCCCAGCATCCTTGAACAGAGACAAGACTCTTCTCACAGAATGATAACTGCAGGAACTATATAGGAAAGAGTCTGAAGGTGAAGTGCCTACTGAGCCGAAGATCTATCCAGAGGACCCCTTGCAACAGCAACCTGCTCACTGCCGACTGCCGAGCCACACAAGCACGTAGACCAAGGCTGACTGCCACTGCCTGGGCGCGAAATTCTGCGCGCATGTGCCACTGGGCAGAAGGACGGACTGATGCAAACGCTTTAACCACGAAGGGGACCAACGTATGACACAACTGAAAACGGCCGCGACAATGCGCAGCAGCAGAGCACACGTCCGACCCAGGGTCGGGAACGCTCTTGCATGCAAAATCGGTACGGGTAACTTATGCCGACGTATGCCTGCACAGTTTGCATCTCAGATAGAAACTCGAGTCAAGAGTAAAGAGCCGCCGCATTCCAGAACAAAACCCTACAGAACATGTCGTTGAAATTAGTGTTGTAAATTCGGGTGAAGAGCGAAACGGCACACAACCGAGGCAGTTGCATTGGGCTGCACGTCGGCCACGCAGGCACCAAATACGGACAAGACCTGCCCCATGTTGCTGAGGGTTCAAGGTTCGACAGGGATTGCAAAAGCACTGCCGTCTGAGTCAAGCATCAAGGTTTGTTTCTCCAAAACACGATGCTAGACTGCCAGACCTACACAAACGGCAGCAGTGCGTCCGGCCTTCCTCGGCTGCTCGCAACGATCGCATGCCGTCATGACCTGAGTCATCAGGAAGCTCAGAGTGCCCTTCAGGCTATGACGAAAGGAAACCAAGCTTCTCGGAAAACCTACTAGTAGGAGCAGCGCTGCACAGTAGGTGGTGACTGCTGGACGGATGCTCTGCGAAAAGAAGCGCTGGAGAAGCCTGAAACGCTGGTCAAGCTCATTTTGCAGCAACATCTACCCCAAGCTTACATTGACTTCACCAAGCGGCGCAATTGCCACGGCCCACTCGGAACGACAGGCCTGGGCCGTCCGATTTGATTTCCAGGTAGAATTGGTGCTTCCGTCGCCTCACCCAACTGGCAAAGCAGCCAAGCCCAGTACGGAGATTGCAGAATTCAGCATGACGTCGTCCAGCTGAATTCCGGATGCTGCCGCCTGCAGAACATGAAGACATGTACGAAGCATTACGAAGGATCGATATGACCAGAAGTGCTGAACTGCCTGGTCAAGCAGCCACAATGCCTGAAGCCAGCAACCTCCTGCAGCTTGCAGACTCAACTCATCGGACTCATCTGCTTCTTCCACAAGTCCTCGCCCACAGGCAGAAATGGCTGCTCCTGCGCACAACTCTTGCCACACATAAAGACTTGCTGGCCTTTTCCAGAATAAAGCTAAGGATCCCACCGTACGTGAAAGCGTTCGCCAGCTTCGCCGTCTGCAGCTCGAAGAACAAAGACAGCGCCCTGCAGCGCGGCATTTTGCAGAGATGATCAGGGATGGAAATGTGGCATACTGACTGATTGACTGCATGTGGGTGGGAACACCCTTGTCCTTGTGCTTGCAAGGCAACAGAGGCTGCTCCGTGCTGCACAACACAGACAGCGCTCACACGCCGTACTCATGATTGTATGCCGCACTCTCACACGCTGCCTTTCCCACTCGTCAGAAGCACCGCAAGCAGCCAACGTACTGCTAGCCATCTTCAAGTCTGCCGAGAAGCTCCTCACATGCCCAGCATTACTGCTTCGGCGGTTTCTTCGGCGATCAGAAACCCAAAACCCATGTGACTTCGACCGCTCCACCTCGTGAGCATCGACGCAAGCAGCAAAGTGTTGCGCCAAGCACTCGCCCTGCTGCAGGCACTGGCCACCTGTCAGAGCTGAGCAAATCGCCGAGGCCCGATTGTGAAAAGACTCGAGAGCGAGACGGCATTGAAATTCATTGTTCTTGTCTCCAGGGCAGCCTCCTGGTCACAACTGCTTGCCTTTTTCAACATTGGTGACAAGTAGCTGCTGGGCAACCACACGCACGGCCTTTACGGACAAGAGGAGGTTGACCGCAACTCGCCATTCCTTGGAGTCAAGTAACAACATGAGCCTATCAACTCCGGAGAGACACCTGATCTTTGCTGTGATGCATGCCTGAAGTTCTGGCTTCGCCGACTTCTTAGAGCAAAGCTTCACAGGCGCAGAGGAGGCTGGCGCAAGTCACTGGCGTCAACTGAACCTTCAGAGCTGTAGGCAGCTGCATTCCCATCCTGCAGGCTGCCAGGAGGGAATGATGGCACAGCAGCGCAGAGCATTGCAAGACGTGGCGGCTCCTCCAGCGACTGCATGTCAGCAGCTCGTTCAAGGAGAAAGCATCTGCCTCGATGTCGGAGCACTGGAGTCGAACTGCCACGTCGTGCCTCAAAACCGACAGGGTAGCTGGAATACGTGGAGAGAGTCACAGTAGGCAAATCAAAAAAGGCCTTAGTTGTTTGCTGCACCCAAGATCTCTTTGGGACGAGTGGCGCTTTCTGCCAAAGCATAGCCTAAGTGCATCGCACTTAGGTCTCCCACGATCGGGCACGATAACGGATGGTAATGTGTATACACGTATGCGACTGTCTTCTACCCATCCATCTGTCCGTACATACAGACATACATACGTACATTCGTACATACACATACATACATACGTACGTACATAGATATGCACATACATATACATATACATATGCATATGTATGTGCATATACGTGCACATATACATATACATTATACATATACATATTCTTATACATATACATGTACGTATACCGATATAGATATAGATACAGACATTACATATGGATATAGATACCGGTACAGTCATAGATATAGATGAAGATGATGAAGATACAGACATAGATATAGAGGTTAGAGATGGAGATATACAGATATGGAGATGAAGAGATATGGAGATACCGAGCTATGGAGATATAGAGATATTTGTATTTGCACAGCGTTTGCAAGACGTGGCTGTGGACGCAGGATTTTGTTTCCGAGAAAAATACGGTGCAGTTGATTCTACCACATGTGACAAGGACAGAGTGTCACATCCGAAATGGGAACGTGTTTGTCCGCAGTACACTCGTATATGACATAGATGACCTAGTCGTTACTCGTATGTACATATATACCCATATACAGATGCATGTGCATATACATATACACCAAATGCATCTACATACAAAACCATAGATACATACATACAAAAACATATACACATATAAATGTACACATACACATATACATATACATATCTGTATGTAGATATATATATATATATATATATATATATACATAATATATATATATATATATATATATATATATATATATACATATACATATATATATATATATACACATAACCACAAACATATACACACATACACATATATACACATATCTGTACACAGGTATTAAGTATACATATATATATATATATATACACAGGTATTATGTATACATATGTGTGTGTGTGCATGATGTGTGCGTTCGTGCATGCATACAGTCATGCATACACTTCCAGATACATACATTTCCCCAAAGCACACATGCACCATACATACCAAAAAACACACGTAGATGTACAGGGATGTAGATATGCAAGCTATATACAAGCATGATTCTCTTTTGTTGCGTCTGCATATACGGATGTATAAACATACACATACATGTTTGCTTTGTCTATACACCTTTGTCGAAGTGCCGAAACGGCGAAGTATGCAAGTATGCGCGATGTAATTATGTAAGTTAGCAGGTATGTATGTAAGCAAAGTATGCCCGTCAACCAAGTAAGCATGGATGTTTGTATGCACGTGCGTGTATGTATGTCTTCTTTGTGTTCATGTGGCTAAAAAAGTCGAGGATCCGCCGCGCATGCTTTCATGACGGTGTTGTACGTTACGCAGTCCGGCTCGTGTTTCAAGCGAATTAGCTCCTGTACAGCATGGATGCAACATCTGGATCCATCGACGACAGCAAGCCGCCAACACAATCCACGACAGTCCTGCAAAGAACGCAATACCGCGGAGGTCTCATGTCCACGGCCGCAAGCGGCCAGAACCTCTGAGCGTTGACTGAAGACTGACACGTCTCGTGGCCCGGTATTGCTTGAAATTGCTAGACACTGACATTGAAATGTCTAGTTCGTCAAGCAAGCAGCCGAATTCCACGAGATGATGTCCGTTTGCATTCGCCCCTCCTGCACTGGAATTGTGTAACATCGACATCGGCCGGTGGTGCTGGAAGACATTTCGATGCCTCTGAAAAGCGAGTCCTGGGCCTCCTCCAAGAGCTGTGCGGCCGCGCCCCAGCGCTCCGCCGAGCCGCGCTCCGCCGCGGAAGCCGAGGCGGCCAAGGCCACGTTGGTGGAGACGCCGCTCCAGCGAAGGCCTCCGAGACGTGCCTTGCAGCGGCAAGGTCCCAGCAAGCAGAGAGAATCAGGGTTCTGCAAGACCTACAGTGCTACATGTCGCATCGTGTCTTGGGACGCTGAAGTTTACGATCATGATTACTCACGCGAAACAGACTCTATGCGAGCAACCAGCGCCCAGTCCGGTGAACTCTGACGATGGTCGTCAGCCCGAGCCTTTTAACATTTTGAGCAACTTTGATTTTCGTGTGCTGTCACGGCGTGGAAGCGGCACAGCAGGAACACGGCAGTAACGTTCAAACGAGGAAACTGCCCTCTAGCTGGCTTTCTCACTGCACCGTTTGCCTTGAACGTTTGTATCCAGACGGACAGCTTCAACGTGCTGTCCCAGTTTGCCAGCGTGCTTCTGAACCCCGTGAAGCCAAGACCTCCTGATCTTCAGCTTTGCCTCGTGGCAACTAGCATAAACCTCTCGCATCCCATGTGCTAGCACTTCAGTGTCTTTTCCGGTGATCCGGCAGTTCGCACGTGGACGTGGAACATGGACATCTGGACAACCGCTGCGGCTTCCTTTGGTGGTTTCAACCCGTGCAACAATGCCACCCGTCGTCTCTGGGAATCGCCAGCACTGCACGCAGCTGTTCATATTGTCGCATATGAAGTACAGTACTCCTCATTCTGCACGACTACGTTGTCTGCACCTTTCTCAACAACCATGGGGCTCGTCGTCCTTTGATGCGCTGGGACACGCAAAGTTCGGTGCTGCCAAGCATTTCCGCTTGCCACTTGCAGAGATCTTTTCGTTCTGTGCCTGAAGCATCCGTGGCAAGTTGTTCGCCAAAAGCCTGAAGCGACGTTGGGCCGATGTTCTCCGACGAGTCGTCGGCCGGTGCTTGTTGCCGCGCACGAAAGTGTGCTACACAACAAGCGCCGATCAAGACGGCAGGATCGCTGGCCTGTTGCAGGGCATCCAAAGCTGCTCGCCAGGCGCCGCTTCCTTCCTCACACGAGGCCACCTGTGCACATCGCACAAAGCTGGCGCAGCTAAGTTCAAGTCGAGGATCAAGTAAAGGCTGCAAACAACCAATTTGGCTTACGCAGCTCAGACGCGAGGAGACGATAGCAGCTAGCGGCTGAACTCGTTCATCTACTTCGCGTCACTGTTTTCTGACTTAGCCCAGTTGGGGGATAGAAGATGCCTCGAGGAGTTTCCAGATATCCGAGCACGGGTTGACAAACACAGGCCTGGTTGAAGAGCTGGATGCCGAGGTCTGGAACATCACGGGCAAGCAATCCACAGCAGAGCTGCTGGGACCTTTGATGAGTTGAAAGGCTTAGAGCTCGAGCTTTCGGAATGCTTCGACGTGCAGCTGGACGGCCATCGCCAGTGTCCACCAGATTTGAGCGAGGCAATGGCCAGGCCGACGAGATGGGACCTCGCCACTTGGCGGCACCGCTTTGCGAACCGCTTGGCGCTCCTCTCGCGCTTCGCTCAGATCTGGGCGTCGTCTCCACGCGGACCTGCGATGCACTGCAGGAGGGAGAGTCCGTGCAGAAACCTGATCCCAGGCCTCGTGCTCCTGCTGCAGTAAGAACAGACTGCAGGCCCACTGCCGCAGCAATCTGTAGTTACGTAGTGCAGCCGCGATCTCGGAGTTCTGGATGCTTCCAGCATTGCTCCTGCTTTGTTCACCGGAGACTTCAGCTCCCACTTTTAAAGCCACAGCCAGAATTGCTCACACGATTCTGCAGCACTGTAACGTCTAAGGCAAGGTTTGTCGCCACAGCTCACTGCTGCACTCAGTGGCTTGCGGCACTATGCATCTGGGTGCCAGATCAACTTACCTCATGAATGTCTCGCATGGTCCGTGCCTTGTGCCTGCTTCCCATCCCGCTGAGTTGCATCGTTGGTATCACTGCTTTATCGCCCAACCATAGACTAACACTAATTACTAATCACTTTATCTCAACCAATTACTTTCTATTGCATCCGTCCTTGGCACCACAAGGGAGCCATGGGCCATGACATGGCCATTGCTGCTCTGTGCTGAGATCAAATAGGTAGCTTGCGAAACCAGAACTCCCACAAGGTCTGGAAGCCTTCGGGTAATGTGGAAAGGAACACTACAAACGCGCGACTTGTGAAACCCTGCTTTTCTTGAAGCCAAAAACCGGGACCTACCTGGGACGTGTTTTTCGTGGCACAATCCAGAAACAAATATGGATCGACAACCACCATAGCATACCCACGAAACCTCATGAATCAAACAATGAAGTACTCGACAAACAACAGTCAAGACGCCTCACAACATCATTTCATCTACTGTCTAGCTTCGCAACTGCATACTGTGCGCTGCAAGATCCGGTGCTCTTCCCATGACCGATGCAGGCACAAACCTTCAAACAAGACACAAACTAACAGTTTGAAGAAACAACATCTGACCCGAAGAACTTACGCAAGTTGTTAACTCTGGGTGGGCTCCAGGTGTCGGTGTCTTCGAACATTTCTTCAGCGAGCTGGTCTTGTCTTTTCGGGTAGAGACTCTTGTAGAGAAAGTTAAGGCCCAAGACAAGGCTCATCGTCCATTGCTGTGACGTTGGCATTTGACACCCATACCGCAGAAGACCTTCACTTGGAATGCAAGCCTTGCAGGCACGGCAATTTTTGCGAGAGATGCACAACGTGATGCTCGACGAAGGATGCAATCCTGCTTAATGTCGGGCACGAGGCTACGATTTGAGGATCAGCTCAGGCGTGAATGGCACTTTGGCCTATCGTCGCAGTACCTGAGAAGAAAGCATGCTGCCACAAAGGCGTAACAGCACAACATCCGCTGTAAACTCGGTAGGCAACTGAGGGACTGGACCTCACAGGCTATCGCCTCGCGCTCCTGAACCTCACGGTGCGAACGTTGAAGCTCAATCTCAAGCTGTTTGTCGAAGCACCTCGCGTCCGTCTCGCAGGCGCCAGGGACCTTCGACGCCCTCGCCGAGTAGTGCCACCTTCCGATTGCGCTTCGAACTGAAGACTCTGAGTTGCCTGGAAGCTCGAAAACCTCGCCGCTCGATCCCACTCGGTTCCCATTTTCAGTGAAGCAATGTGCACTCTTCCAATTCTTGCTCTCAGAGGACCATCAGTTGACTGCACGAGCTCAGTTCACAACTTTGTGGACCTGACCTCTCGCGCATGCCCTCAATTGATGTACAGGACAGGTATGTCCACGGCATTGTTCAACAAGTGTGTGGTCAGTGACGACTTCCTCAGCTGACTGCTGGCTGCCTGTTTGCAGTGGTGACAAAGACAAAGGTACTGATAAAGACAAGCCGCAAGACACCCAGCACAGTTCTGCCCTTCAGCAGTGGCTCGAAGAGGCTCCCGATTCCAGGCATACACTTGGTCCCGGCCACGAGCACCTGGAACGTCACGAAAGAACGAGATTCAGATCCTCAAATGCTATTGGTTTACTAATACTACTTCTTAATTGTAGTACTGGAGCCAAGGAGGCACGTCACATCCGTTCTTGATCGCCGTGTCCAGCAGCCTCTCCCCCAGCAAATGGCCGGACTGCACCTCGATGTGGGTTCCGATCACCTGCTTGATGCCACCTCCGTTTCCTGAGGGCTCATGCGAGCGCTCCATGGAAACATCGCAACCTTGACTGTCGCCCTCTGTCCTGTCCTGAGAGGATTTCTTCTGCCTCTTGGAACAGCGATTGGGCTTGCAGCTGCGCCTGCTGCGCATCCTGCAACGCGTGAAACTCTGTGAGCTCCTCTTGAAAGAAGGCTCCGACAACTCCTCCTCGGCTGTGCTTGCCGGAGCCCCACGGAACTTGCCACGAGGCACCGGAGGTGGCGGCACATGGGCATGGAGGATTTCCACGGTGTCCTAACAAGCATCAAAAACTTCTTCTTTGCCCTGCCCTCTGCCCTGCACATCCCTGGCCCTTTGCCTGGGAGCCGGTGTGGTTTGCGAGCACTTCCAGGGCATGGCGGCTGGTCGAGCAGCCGTCGTAGACGACGGTGTACTTGAGGCCCACGTCTTGGGCGGGCCGCCACTCTGCCTGGGGGCACACCAGAAGCCGAATGTCCGAGTAGCCTCGGTCAGCGGTCAGTCTGAGGCTCAGCGCACCCAGAGGTTCCACGGCGCAACCCCCGAAGCTACGGAGGTCAAGCTTTCGGCCGAGTCGCTCTGCATCAAATAGCTGGCAAGCGACTTGTGCAAGACCCGCCCGGGACCGTGCGATCCCAAAGACACGAAGTGAGCATTGGCTTTTCCCACAAAGGAAGTGACCGCGGCCCCCGGAGACATCACTGTTTGCACTTGGGTTTGTATGGCACCCGGCTCCAGTCCGGCTTGCCGGAAAACCTCCGCCACAGAATCAAGACTTTTCTGCGCATTCGCTTCCTCTGCCAGGTGCTTTGCGTTGGCATTGGCTTGCTCGGGAAATGCCTCCGCGCGGCCACACACATGAAGTTGTCGGAATTCTGTATTCTTGCTTCCTACGATGGGGTCGAAAAAGGTGCCGAACATCGATTCCAAACATAAGGCCCCTACTGCATCCTGCGGGGCCTTCACCGCGCGGTACACCTGAAAGGCAGTTACAGCCAGAGAAAACGAGGGAACATTCAAAGGGCGTCGAGGAAAGACAATCGCAACTTGCGGGACATGGCTCCCAAACGGAGTCTCCGGTCTGGAACATGCGCGCCATGATTTGAGCGGCCGCAACGGACTGCGGCTCGCCATCCACACAGGCCACTGCCTTCCAGCTGTGAGGAAACGAAGGTTTCCCGAGACGAGAAACGATACCAAAGACAGCCCCTGAAATCCAAACTCAATCTGGCCACAGAGATCGCGGGTCTCGTCGAAGACCATCTAACAGCAAAGTTAAGCGGCCGCCAAAGTCTGACAGCTCGCATTTGGAACGGTCCTTCAGCACGCTCGCAGGAAAAGCTAGTTTCCGGAGTTTGAGATCTGCCACGCAGTTAGACTGTGAGCGACTCCTTCAAGACAGAAGCCTGGGGAAGACCAGCGCTGGCTTCTGGCAGTCTCAGAGGAAAGCTTCTAAGTCAAGGCCATGAAGTACTGCCTGTTTGTTATGTCAGTAACTTGCTAGCAATCGCAGGCAACCGGGAGCATGCGTGACTGGCTGGGCTCTCCAAAACCCTCGTGTACCATTTCCTTCGAGCCAGGGCGTACGAACGTACACAGCAATGACAACAAAACGCGACACTTCCGCACGCACTCTCTCTCTCTCTCTCTCTACCGGGTGTGAGGGTCGCGGCAGCGTTCAGGCCGCTTCCCCCGTGCGCGCACGCACTCCCGCGTTTCGCGGAGTGTCCTTTGTTTCCCCCCAGGGGTTCGCCCCGGGTCGGCTCGGCTGTATAGGCTGAAAGGTTTTGCCGAGGCATGAAAAGGGAAGGCCTGTCGGTGTTTCTCCCCACGCCAGATACGTTCAAACAACAGCAACCCAGCATGAAAAGGAAAACCCATCCCCCCCACCCACAGGCCTTCTGGGGGTCGAAGGAAAAGCTTGCATTTGTTGTCCCGCTGTGTATAAGCAAGGACCACCAAGGAACTACGAGGTTTGATTGAAGAGAATTTCGGCCTTCTGTTCCCCCCGAATTCAATCAAGGCGGCGTGTTGAAAAGACACGAGCACTCTCTCTCTCTCTCTCTCTCCCTCCCAGTCTCCCGGGAACTGTGGGGAGCACCGGGCGCAGCCGACCAGCCGAGACGAATTGCTGCACAGCTCGGCGCACCTGTGTCAGTTTACAGAGTCTGATGGGCCAGGTATACGCGCACATGCGTATATGCGTACACACACAATCTCTCTATCGATCGATCTATATATATATATATACATATATATATATATATACATATATAGCATCATATGTAAAGGTTGTATCAAAAAGGCGGGACAGAGAGAGAGAGAGAGACAGGGAGATAGGGAGAGAGGGGCAGAAAGAGAGGGAGAGGGAGAGATGCAGAGAGGAAAGCAAAGACTCAAGGAGACCCCGCCCCCTCTGCTGCTCCGTAGTCATCGAAGATGATGAGGCTGACCTGAAAAGGGTCCAGAAAGCATGGATTTTGCAAGCTTGCGGAAGCCGCGAACTTATGAATGTGAAGTTCTCCGTCATCTGAGCCGAGCATGCCACGGTGGGGATTCGAAGACAGTTGTCAATGTCTTGCATGACCTTGGGATCTTGCACAGTGCGATGGCAACTTGCTCACTGCATGGAAGCGGGGGTCTTACGTGAAACCAGGTTGAAACTGGCCACGTGCATACTACGGATTAACACTTGCAAAAACGAACGAAACAGCTCAGCGACTTACACTGGACCTGCAACAGCTAAAGCCTGGGCACCAGTTGCCAAAGCCGGTGCCTGCAACACTCGTTCGCTCTGCGCTCCATCACGGCTTGAGGCCAGCACGGTTTCAAAGTCATGAGATGCATCCAGGAATACAACCTGCGAGCCGCTCACAACGAGCAGTATCATGACCAGAAAGCTCGCCTCTGTTGCGGTCCCCGTCTCTAGTATGGTAGCAGTAGCCGTAGCGGTAGTGGTAGCGGTAGCAGTAGCGCTACTAGCGGCAGCAGTTGCAGTGGGGGTAGTAGTTGTGGTGGTACTAGCAGCACTTCCAGTTTGAAGGGGGTGTTTGGATTCAGAATCCCACTGGAGAAGTGCAGCTTGATCGGAATGGTCCCCATGGAGCCGTCATGGAACTTGCCACGCCTGTTAGTTCGGGTCCCGGAGACAAGCACGCCACAGTTCTATGGGCAGGTGATCATCGGGTGCTCATTGCCTTTCATATGAGATACCTAGCCACATTGACGGTTTAGGAACTGGACACATTGACAGATTTGGGTTTCAACGTTGATCCGGGTCTTGCCATGAAAAAGTTGCAATGTGCTACAGTGCTACAGTGGTGCGGACTCTGCTGCATTTACTGTCCTTCTTCAGCAGTCCTTTGGCATGTGATGTGAACGAAAGTCCGACGCGGTCACACGCTATCGGTTCAGGCCGGGGATCTCTGTGCAGTGGATCGCTCAAGGATGTGGTAGTTGTGAGTCCTGTATGCTCTTTAACTTAATGGTCACTTCCCGGGCCCTCGAGCGGTTGTGCACCCAAAGCAAAAGTAGTAGCAGAGAATCCGGCTGCAAGATTTTGGTGAAACTCAACAAGCTGCCTGGATGGTGTTCAAGGAAAAGATGGCCCAGTCCTTGGCCCAGCGGTCTTCTTTTGAGAACAAGAGCGAATAGGGCTGTGTGCGCTGTTTCGCCCAGATAGGCATACCCCCCTAAATGCATTTTCTGACATTGCTGACTGCTTTACGCCTGTGACCCGAAACGAAACAGTCTTGGATCCTGGCATGGTCCGTGGTGTGGAACCTGCTGGACACTTGTGGATCTACTGTGAAGATACTTGACGACACGGTACCACCAGGCAGTCGCCTGATGTACAGGATGTTGTCTCGGTCGTAGTTGTAATCCCGATTGGCCTCGGTTTTGGCTTTGACAGCGTAGATGCAAGAATCCTCTGTCTGAGTTCGGCACCCACCTGCAAGAGCTCAGGAACGGCATCAAGTGCTATCACCTGTCATTTCGCCCTTGCTGGAGAGCATCGGCCACCGTCCAACACACAAAGGCAGGGTCACGCGCTTGAAGAGTTGACTGAGAATGCGAGTAGTGTAACCAAAGTAGGAGCCGACCTGCAAGGGTCTGAATCCGTGCGAGCGTTTTCTACGCTCACTCCGATAAAATCTACGGCGAGGTACAGCACGGCCTCCAGCACGGTCAAATTCTCGGAGAAGCCTTCAACGAGTCCCCGCAGGTCCTGCCATGTGACGGCGACTTTCCAAGCAGGAAACTCCATGCAAGGCTGAATTGTCAGCTCTTCGAAGTCGGAGCACTGCAGTGCGTGATTCACAGGCACAGATAAAAGGGCACACTTTTTTTGAAAATGAGGAATGCAGGGCACCCAAAGCCGTCGTCTCTCCCAGTGGTCATCATTCGCCCCATCCTGGGAGAATCCACAAGATGGTGCGGAGCTTCAACAATGCAACTGGCATCAGGCAAGACCTTACCTCCTGAGTCCGACCTTTTTGACTCTTTGACTGCAGCAACTGCAGCTCTACAGTCTAGTGAATGTAGCCTTAGGGCTACATCCCTCCGAAGTGTATCCACCAGTCAACCGCTCCAAAAACTTCACCCCCAATCGCGGCACGCTTTCCTACAATGTCCAGCCTTGCCGGTTGAGCTCTGGACCAAGGCTGCAGGAACTCGCCTAGTCCGCATGTACCCAATGTTGGAGGATAAGGTAGTAAGACTTGCACGGCAAGCACGGACATAAAGCGTACTGAGTTCCGCGACACGATGCCATGCAGAGCTGCCCGCAGTCTGGAGAGGCCACCTCCATTCATTGATGGACCCTGCCTCCCAAATGCAGGACCACCTCGGTGCAACATTGCTAGCAAAACTCTGGCACCATGCTTCTGATCGCGAAGCAATGCTCAGCGAAGCAGTTGTCAGGGAGCAGCCAGCAAGAGATACACCCCGAGCCGAAGGCGAGATGGACTTGTCATCAGCGAGCCTGTGAAGGTTTCTTGTGTGGAGAGTCCCAATGCTGTTGGGGAGAGCTGCCAACACCCCTTCAAGTCTTTCGAGGCTCCTCCGCATCAAGTTCCGCAAGCTCTGAAGTGAGAGTCTTGGCCTAAATGCAGCGAGGACGGGCTGAGCTCAAAGAAATGTACAGCGCGCACGCCCCAAACGCGGCAACCGGGGACTTGGCTTCGTCGTGCAAGAGCAAATGCTGACTGGCGGCCTGCAAACTCGCAAAGCCGACGCGGCTCTGCACAGATGGGTGCGCAACTCTTGTGCCATGGCTGCCTTCAGCTGAAGCAGGACTTGCCGCTGCTCCTGCTTCAACAGTCTTGCAGTAGTAGCCATGACAGCATCGAAGAGCGCAGCGTCCTTCCAGCTGGGCAAGTGTTTCAGTTCACCTGGTACGTGCAAGGCGAGCTTACATAACACATCTAATCAGCAGAAAGATGCCTCTGTTGCTCTGCTGACGCTGCCTCGATCCTACGATTCGAGGACTTACTCTCACTAGCACTTTCTCACTCCCAACCAATCCAAACCCAAAAGCCAGTTGGAACTGCACAGCTCTGCTGCAATTTAGCGTTCACAGGCGCTTCGGATGCTACTTTTTGAAGCGACGATAACATGTATACACGTTCCTTCACATAACCGTCACTGAACTACTGAACACTATGCATGACCTGGCATGAAAAAGGCATGCACTGAAGCAACTGCAAGAACTGAGGCCCTGATCAAAAGATCCAAAGCGCCTTTCGAGGTAAGTTATCACCCCAGGCATGCAAGTCCTCACTACAAAACCTGAACTTCCAGCTCTGACTCTACCATCCCCTCATCAGGACGGAGCTTCCTCGATCGCCCCAACTCAAGCAACACCAATTTTTCACTCATAAGGCGTAAGTTTCGAAACACTACGGTCACATGAACACTGCCGCAGGAGCAGGATCTGGCCAACGCACATCTAACATTGGGTCAGGACGTGCATTCAGCAGCAAGTTGCTGACATGCAGAACCCCTTCTCGGTGATCGCACAAAGCCGTGAGGTTGACGGAGTTCCCACAGACCTGGATCACCATGTTCCACCCAGGGCAGCGGCCGTCTTTCGCGCCTCGGCCTGGATGGCTGTATCGCTTGAAACGAAGACTTGTCCAGAAGGCAAAGTTGTCCTCAAGGACATATCCGCGGTCCAAAGTTCCAGGAGGTCGACCTGCCACCTCGTCTTCGGCACTGCGCCTCAGGCAGTCATCTACCAAGCTGACAATTTCCGTTGGATGCCCCTCCAGCTAGGAGACTCAAGCCTAGAACCCTGAGCCACAAACCCACCAAACCGAATCCTAAAAACACCCTACACTCTAGTGCAACAAAGCCCACAAGCCTTTTTAATCCAAAGCCCTTAAGCCGAAAACACCAGAAAACACCAGTCCCAAAAATTCTTGGACCCACACCAAGTTGGCAAAGCAGTCGTTCTCGAATCCGCCGCCAAACACTCCGTGGCGCGAAGCAGCCAAGCTCAAGCGACCGATAGTCCTCCCAAAACTTCCAGACTCCGACTTCGTTCACCACTGAGGGTATCTGTGGCCTGTCCCTAGGCGACCTCGAGCCTTCCCACCCACACATAGGGCACGAGATACTTCAACGGGACGAGCCCGACACAGTCGCTGCCTTCCTGCTCCAGGCGACGCATGTTGCCCCAACCGTCCCACTTATGATGGCGCTCGATCATGACGAGAGATTCTCCTTGCCAAATTTGAAGAAATTGTCGGAGGTTGCGCCACTTCGAAGGAGGATCAAAATCTTGAGTGGCCATCCACAAACAAAGAGAGTCACCTGGAATTTCCACCAGCCGCTGATTGCTGGACGTGTGCGCTCGAAAGAGAAGGGAGTCATCTTCACGAACGGCGCTGGCCACAAGACAAACAAAATCCTGGCGGTTGAGATGAAAGAGGCCTCCGTTCACGGAGCCAGGACAACGCGTCCAAATGCGCGCACCTCCTTTCAGTAGCTGCTCGACGGCGGGCAAGGAAAGGCAGGAGGGGCAGGGCTCTCCAGGCCTTGGCGGCTGGTGCCGCAGAAGTTCGAACTCCTTCGTGTCCAAAGCGGCTGGATCTTCCCGGGTCAGAGGCTCATCCCGGACTGGTCTGCCAGCAAGCCGCTCGCGCATGTTGCGCAGCCGCCTGCCCACATCGCCCAAGACCATCTGCAACAGGAGCTGAAACTCCAAGGATGAGTCGGGAATGCCACGCAGAGCCGGCGCTTCACCTGGCAGATACCAACGTGAGGGGATCCCCAGTGCAACATCGTGGCTAACTTCCGTGGATCGCCGAATCAGGTCAGCTGAACGGCTCAGAACACGCCGAATCTGCGTACTGTGTAACGGAATCTGGTGGAGGCCGGTGCAAGCTGTGTAGCAACCCTCGACCTCATCGAAGGAATTGACACAGGCAAGCAATCCTGCAAAGCCCTCAATGTGTGAGGGCACATTGTCGTGGATTTCTACTACACTCCCCACGCGAGCAGTCCTATCGATGCGACACGACACCCAATCCAGAGTTGATAGCACCGGAGCCCAAAGGCCGCTGTGCACCACGACATGCAGACAGTGGACTCCTTCCATACTGTGTGATGCAGGGGCCAGACGCAAGGCCGGCTGATTCAGCCTGGAAACAGTGATCTGCGCGTTCAGGAACTGTGCAAGCAGAGCGAGGTCTACGATGTCCAACGGTATCCGGGCCACCACTGTCGTGCTTCTCGGGTATTTGTTCCAAGACTGGCCATCCGTAGAAAAGTCCCTGCTGTGAAATGTAAGGCAGTACAGGTACCATTTCCAGTAGTCTTTTGCTCTTTCGAGCGAGTATCTGGCACAGTGGAAGAAGGAGAGCTCGTCTGCGAGCTTCGCTTCGAGCAGGGCCTCGAGTTGTGCTCCCCTGAAACTGGCATAAGTCTGGACTAACACTTTTCGGAAGCTTGTCTCCAAATCCTCACCTGTTTGAATATGGCATCCGCTGGCTCCGCAGGCCATCGATAAGCTTTGCCACGGACATCCTGGAGGGCATGTGTCCTGAACTTGCCGGTGGAAGGTGTTGGAGATCCACTGTTTCAACATGTCAAAACATACGGAACGACCAGCATCTCGATCTGCAAGCCGTTGCAACTCCATGCTTTACAGTCAGCAACGCAAGAATGACCAGGCTATCCAGTCTATGAGCCACGCGCCCTCCGCACAGGCAAAGCACATCTACGGTGCACATCATAAACTGTGAAATTACGCAGCGTCACTTGTGAAGCCGGGGCCGGAGGCTGGGGAGTTTAGAGCTTGTTCATGTAGGTAGATCTGTACCAACAAAACGTTACTACCCGAGACGAGACACGCTCGGAGGCGGCTCTCGCGCTAGCGGTAAGTTAAGGATGCATACTATTAAATCTATTGATGGTGCCAATTCATCTGTCTGATCGCGTGGATCATGTATGCTAGACAACCATACTCAGTCTTACGTGGTATCTCGGGGTTGCACATGCAAAAGCTTGGCGCACCCCGCAAGTGCCAAAGCGGCCGAATCCAGGAGAGAGCATCCTGACAATGAGTTTAGGGTGGCTGGGCTTTAGATGGCTTTAGGATTCAGAGTTGGAGCAATTAGACAGCACATTTTCAAGTCAATGCAGGCCTTGAAAGCTGATTGCTCCTCGAGACAGGAGGCAGCCATTTCCTCAAGATGAACACTTGAATCTAGAGGCCCAAAATTTGGGGCTGTCTGGCACTTCAGAGGCTGAGGCTTTCCCTTGGCAGGGCCTGCAAGAAGTTCACGGCTAGCGGCTAGTCCGAAGTTGAAGATTTCGGCACTCCCAGGTGCCAGCCTCGCTGAGGCAGCAAGCAGACGTCGTGCCCAAAGTAGCACCAAGCGCCAATGAGCCTGGCAAAAGCCGAGAATCCATAGCCATCCTCTGCTCGGATCGCCCGCAACAACGCTTGCGTGACTCTCTCAGATTGCGGAGCTTCTCAATACTTTCAACGACGGGAGTTCACATGTCTCCCTTCCATGGGCCTTGGCTACCGCCTTCTTCCGAAAAGGACCGGCCTGAGACCTGGCCCATCATCGTATCTCTCTTTGAAATATGCCCCGTCTTTGGCTGCACGGCACTTCGAGCTCTGCAAAATTCCTTGGCGCGCGACAGCAACATCATTGCACGGAGCGTGCGTGATAGCGGGAGGTCCTGCAGACATGCTAGAAGACGTGCATGGCATTGCAAGCCCATCAGACCCGTCAAAACTCTTTCAGACCATCGTTTTCCTTGGAGGTCTTTGGCAGGTTTACCAGCTCCTGCAAGGGCGGAGATGAAGCCGCACAGCTACAATGAAGCTCATCGCCTCGCTTTGGCCCTGGCCTTCGCATCTGCCTCCCAGCGACTGCCGCTTGTTTCAACTGGCACGAGCAGCTCGAGCACGACGTCCAAGGACAAAATCCTTACAAGGAATGCAATCACCAAGACTTGGCAGAAAACACACGATATTCAAGTCTCGTCAAGTGTTTCAGTTCCGAGCAGAAAGGCAGATTCGCAGTCATTGACGCCTGCGCTAAGCAGAATGGTCTGGTCCTGGCATTTGTCCATGGAAGATCCCTACCGGCGGTAACACAAATGGACTGGAATCATTCTCAGAGAGAGACCGAACTGTTTGGTGCTGGACTCTACCCGCCCGTCCTCTGAATGGAGCTTCTGGAGCACCATGCCTGGCAGTCGTTCCCCTCTTGCTGCAGGTAGAACCGTATGACTAAACCACATCTGTGCCGCTGCTATCGCTACTACGTGATCCGAAGCCGACTTGCTTCCGTTTAGTACAGCCTAGGACCCGTCTCTGCGTCCACCTTCTTGTGGCCTTGCTGGCCTCTTTGCGATCATCGACCGTGCCCAGCCCGGCCTGAAGCGAACTGCACGGTCTCACAGCCAGGTCCCAGCTCATCCCAGGCAAGGCCTTTGTGGCAGCTTGAGAAAGAGGCTCTTCAGCTCTTCAAGGCACTCAACGGAGTCGGATGTTGACTCTGGGATGCTTCATGCAGATTCCTTCAGGCCTACTTGGCCAAAGTCCAGATCCGAGACTCGGACAACTTCCGCCAAACTCGTGCCACTCCGAAGAACAGAAAACAAGCGAGGGAATGATGTCGAAAACACGCAAAGTCAAACTCACACAGACACACACAGGCCACACACACACACACGCACACACACACACACACACACACGAACACACACGCACACACACCACACACAATAATGGAGACGGCTAAAGTGCAACGCCCCCTTGTTTCGTGCGTTCTTGCTCACTTGGTCAGCTGGCCTGCTTGGCCGAGGTAGTGGAAGCAAAGCTCTGGGGAGGTCGCCAGCACCTCCAAACGGCACACAAAGGCATTTTCTCAACAGCCAACAAGCATCAAACAGCGTGAACACATCACACAGGCACCTCGTAGGGAGACTTGTTGTTCACCACGTAGAAACGATGCAGGAAGACGTACCGGTTGAACCTGAGCAATGCCACACGCGACGGCTGCTGCTTGGTAAGCACCCCAAGGTCGGGATACTCTGCATGACAGGACATAACACGTGCACGCGGCATGTCTCCGTTGTTTCTTCAATTTCTGCAAGCAGTAGCTCAGCGTGAATGATCGGCGTACGAGAAGGTCAGCCCACACTCAATTTTGGCGAGATCTCGCGCATCATGAGCATCCAAAAAAACGGGTGGTCTTCAGCTCGGCCAAACGATCTGGAAGCTGCCTCCCACAAGGAGCGGAGATGCCCAGGAGTTGCAAGTCTGGCTGTTGTCCCCTGCTGCCCAGGCAGCTGAAATTGGCCAATGTTCCCTGACATCGCATCCATAGTGATCATGGCATCGAGGGCCTTCTCTTCCGTCATGTTGCCGTCAGCCGTGCTGGAGCCCCAAGCTTCTCCTTCGCTAGCGGTCCGCCAGACAGCCAAAGGCAGAGGCCTGCTGCGTGCTCAGAAAGCGACCGCGACTCCGTTGCCAGGACAAGGGAAACGGTTCAACGGTTTTGCAAAAGAAGTGCTCGGATAAAGCCTTCTCCAACAATTTCTTTCGCGAAACCGTTCAGCCGTTCCGTCAGCCAGGACACAGAATACCTTGACCACAAACGAATGTCTGATTCTTTGCAGCAGCATTGCCTCTGTATACAACGCCCGGTGGCAACAATAGCCTTTTCTTGAAGAACTCCCGTGAGCACGGTGCCAGTCCACTGCGCCCCAGTTGCCTGGTAAGTTGCAGTTGTTAAGCAAAGCCTCCGCCAAGGCTTTTTCCAGAGCCGCGCGTTTCCCCGGCAGGGACTATTTCTGCTCCCCGGCCAGGGACCTATGCAGGCCAGCCCTCGGGCTTCTTCGGGTATTGGTGTACGCTTTTGGGCAGCCGCCAGCCCGTACAAAATCACGGTTGCGGAACGGCACCCAGGCTAGCCACAATGCCATTGACCAAGGCGGGCTGGCCACAGTGTACGAAGCGATATTTGAGGGCAAGCCGGTGAGAGTACCACCACCGGCTTGAAATGGACCTTGAGGAAACCTGTCTGATGCTGTGCCTGAAGGGCAGGGGCTGGTGACCCGAAAGGGAAGGAAGTGCGAGGATTTGAAGAAAGTGTTGCACATCCTCCTACCGTGAGTCCAAGTAAACCAGATCCACAAACCGCCACCAAAGACAAGGATAATTCAAATGCTTGGCTCAGGCAAAGCGAGGGAACTGCCGGATTGCAGATAATGCTGCCTGCGGTCCCGGCATTTGCCGCCTATCCTAAGCCCAGAACCCCATCTTGACTTTCCCTCCCATCGGAGAGGTCGCTGATGCTCAAGGTGCTGGCCAATCGGAATTTTGAAAGATGCATGGCAACTAAACTGAGGATGATGACCGGCCGCATGAAAGACGGATTTCATGACATCCACGCCTGAAGCTGCCATGAAGTGTCAGATTCAAGCTGACGGAATGTCTTTTCCGGGGACGCATTCAACATGGTCGGCTGTTCAACAAAGAGGGACAAGTGGATTGCTAAATTTTTCTTCTATCAGCCAAAAGCAAAATTGAAGGCTGCATCAAGTATGCTGCTCGGAAGTTCTCAGAATGTTGCAGCATCGCAGCTAATGCTCGTGATACCGGCCACCTGTCGGCAGCTTGTGCGTGGCCTGAAAAGCAGCTAGTGACAGCTAGTGCAACTGATTCTCGACATGTTCAAAAACGCAGTTGACTCATGATGCTGGCTGTCGACCGGGCAAGTTGCCGGTTCACTCAACCCTGGGGCGACCAGCATCATGAGCATCAGCTGAAAGCTGTGACTCAACCCGTCCGCAGGCGGCCTTTAACGAGCCCATCAACGGCCCACAGGCATCACAAGCTTCAGTCCCCAGGCGTGGTTCATGCCAAGCGCAACCAGCATCATGAGTATCAGCCGCCTGTTGTGTCTACGATGAGCCTAGGCTCCACGCCTTTCTCAAGCTGCCAGTTGTGCCTGAAGCCTCCGTCTTGCCCCAAGTACGTACGTCTACACGCCACGATATTAATCAACCCGTGGTAATGAAGTGCATACACCCAAGCTTGCCAAAATCAACATGACGTTACATTACATTCGTGAAGAAGCATCCCGATTCTCAAGCTTTTCGGACCATGCATAGCAGTCCGCCCCGCCCCGACTCAAGCTTGATGATCACTTACACCACAATTCTGCCGAAGGCAGCAGGACCACTACAGTCTTCTATGCTACCATAGTTCTGCCTGAAAAGCTGGATGCTGTCATGATCTCGAATCTCGCAATCCATACAGAACCCCCGAAGGCACGAGTGCTTTTTTGCTCGAGCTGGTGGTCAAGAATCACAGCTTTGCTTGCAAAAGCATCTTCGTGTGCTGGCCCGTGAACCTCAGCATGGGAGATGCCGTTCTCTCTGATGGTCTCTGGTCTGCTGTCACAACTGCCACTTTCACGCTTCCCAGCAGTCAGGCCAGGCAAATCCAGGCAGGGCGCACAACGTGGTCTGCAGATTTTATCGTCCTGAGTGACCCAGATGAAGTGAAAACCAGAAGCTCGTGCGCCGAAGACTTGCGGCTTGGTCGCATCGATGCAAAGGCCAAGTTCTTCCCAGCCTGTTCGTGCTTCTCAGGGCTCTCCAAGGGGCTACTCGTACCAGTAGAAGGGTGCCTTTTCGAGCCGGCAATCGATGGTCAGCTCCTCTCCAAGCTTCGCGGCTCCTTGATACTGTCCTGCAGGGAGCTGTGACACGTCAGCCGCGATCATCCGAGAGTCGGCCCCCGGGATAAGCGAGGCTCTCCTGTCATGTTGACGCTGACGGAGGGCCGCTGGTCCATCTGTGTGGCGGCAGTGGCCATATGCAGTGCACCATCACTCCAAGTGCCACCTGGTTGATGACGACCGTCGTGAGACAGTCCAGCAGCAGCATGGAGAAGGCACCTGCATGCATTCATCATCACAGAGCTGCGAACAGCATGACCGAGATCGGCACCATGCAGAGTCTGCAGAGCGTTGACATGCTCCGGGCCCACCTGCAGCCAGAAGTGCCTTCGACTTGTGACCCGACGACTAAGCCATGCCTTCATCTTGAAGGTGATGAAGCCCGGCTCCACTGCCGCCACCGCGGCATCTTTCAGCTCTTGCACGCCGAAACCTCCCAAAGATCTGGGGAAGAGTTTCAGGCCGGTTAACCCCAAAGACAGACACTGTGACACTCCAAAGCCTGCGTTAAAGAAAGGGAGATCTCCCATCCGCATCCCGACAGGGATCTGTGCCATGGCCGGAGGCTTTGGCGGCTTTGGCATGCTGCTGTCTTCCCAAGTGCCTGTGTGCTTGTGCACGCTGCACTGCGCACTGGTGGCATCACTGAGCTGCTGGAGACCAGCTTGTTCGGACTCGCAGTTGAGCTCATCTCGAACTGGTTTGAGCCCTTGAGAGATTGGGTCTGAACTTGGCAAACCTTTCCCCCCTGAGCTCTGGACTTGATGTGCGCAATGCCGAGGCTAACCTGCGCGTGCTCTCGTCGCCACTGGCCATTCGGCCAGAAGAGCCAACAAATGCCAACACAACACGCGTCTTCGCAAGTCCGGAACGGAAGTCCCAGAGCTGCGCCTCCCGTCCACCCCAGTCAACTGGGCCCACACAGCAGAAGCCTGCAGCAAGTCTCTGCATGATCACAAGCTACTCTGCCCATCCAAAGCAAAAGCTGAGGATCGAGGAGGTGCAGAACCGGCAACAGGACGTACCTCCTCTGTAGAAGAACTGCGAAGTCGGAAGCAAAGGCAGAGCGGGTGTTTGCGTTGATGACACCTGCGGAGACAGCGACAAGCCACTACAGCACACGATCCCTTGATCATGGCATTCTTGCCAGATTGCTGATACGGCCCAGACCCCAGACTCACTCATACAAGCTGAAAGAACCTGCGTCCGTTTACCTTCATATAGCCAGCTTTGTAGGTACTGCCTGCTGCCAGAGCCCCGACGCCCAGTCAACCTGCAAAGGCCGGAGGCAGGAACCAGGAACCTAGCTGGCACTCCGTGGCCCTCGCAAGGAGACCCCACCTAGCTGCCTACCAGTAGCAGTAGCAAATACCAGTATGTGCTGCCCTTGGCCCGGTCACCTCGAGCATGACGCGAGGATTCAGGGAGAACTCCACCAGAACAGACTCCTCAGCTTGCAACATAATTCCCCAAATCCCATAACACCCGGAAAGAGGTTCTCTTCCCGCCTTGCGGAGGGTGGCGATGTTCAGATTCTTGAAGGCCTGCTGCTCCCGGTGCTCCCGGCGATGAAGCGCCTCTCCGAGATCTTCAATTCGGCGCAAGTGTACGCAAGCAAGGGGAGCCTCGCCTCCGGAGTGATTTCTGTAAGACTGCCGGTCTCGATCCAGGCAGCCTTGGGAAGTTTCTCAAAACACGTCGGGACGCGACATGACGCAAGTAACTCGGTAGCTTGCAGGCGTGCAGCCATGTGCCCGTGACCCAAAGCAGAGCCCTGCAGTCAATTCGTGTCAAGGTTTCAACGACTCGACAGCTCTAGCACTGAGGACATCTCTTGTTCGCAGCTTTGCGATGTAAGCGGTTCGAAAGCTGAACCTCGGTCAGAAACTTTGAAGCACGAATCTGTTGAGTAAGAGCCTGGCCGGTGGGCCCTTGCACTCAATTACTGTGAAGGAGCAGACAAGCGACGACAGCCAGTAGTCTTCTTCAAACTTGTAAAGCCGAAGGTCCTTGAAGGTGCCGGGACCAGTGTGAAGGCTTTCCACACAAGCGAAAAGGGGCATGAGGCATCCCAGGAATGTGTGCCTCCGGACCTTCGATGGATCTTTCTGCAAGAACTTTGCCATCCTGCACCTTCGTCTTCTTTTTTACGCAGGCTTTGTCTGTGAGGCAGTTTCAGCTTAGCCGCTTGGCCTAGTCGTTTAGCCTTGGCTCCAAAAGCTTTTCGCATATTCGCGAGGCCTCCTGGAAGCGAGCCCGGAAGCTGTCGCGCTGGAAGGCCACAGGAACCGCCTACGGAACACTACTCCTAGCATCCCAGAACGGCAGCGCGGATGCGGAATGACTTTGGACTGACCCGGCCTCAACTACTGTCAAGTCCGGCAGCTTCAGTGTGGCCAGTATCGGTTGGTTGTATTGGTTTGCCTCCCAGGCTTCTCAATACAACACACAACAGCGCGTGCCTTTGTCCACAGAGCTTCAAGCAGACAAGCCCGCTCCTGTGCTTTGTGATGTGGGACCTCAACACGTGAATTTCAGCGGCCGCTGTGGGATAGTGTGTTGTCAGGCCATTTGTGCAACTAAGAAGCACTCGTCCAATTTCCATCCCACCCTGATTCTGGACAATAGTGCCTCAGGAAGCCATCGTAGGGAGAGTGCATGGATCCGCCAGCTGGTCTTCGGCGGTATATAGGTGCCACGCCAATTCGAAGCCCGGAACATGGCGAGGAGGTAGCCGGGCCTTCAGACAGCATTTTGGACTCACCTTCTCTGGCTGCAGCTGTCGGCTCTGCCAGCAGCAGGCCCTACGGCACTGGAGACAAATGTTCTCAATGCAAGCTACGTGCTTCCAAACGTTCCCCTGTTTGCCAGGTGTGGAGCTTTGCATGGGCCAAGGATGGGTTGTAGATGCCCAGGCCAAAACGAAGTGCATCCTTTCAAAAGCACAGATATTTCGACGGCCGTAAAGAAACCGCTAGCATCGCAAGAAGCTCGTGTCAACTTTGGAGAAGCCGGCGGAACCCCGCCTTCGGAAACAGCTCACTGCCGAGGAGAGCCTGGCGCCCAGCACAGGCACTGCGGCACTGTTATGGGAGGCTGGGAGGCTGCGAAACGAAGGTTGGCTGCATTTTATTGCTTTGCGCAGCAAGCGGTCATGGCGAACGTCCCAACGTCTTGCTGAGTTGCCGTTACAGCGATCACAAATCATTCGTCAGTAGTCGTTGCTTACAGACAGTCGCCGGATTTGGATAGATTCAGGCAAGAACGTGTCGTCACAGTTACCGGGGCACTTCCCGGTCCCAAATGCCGCCTCCGCCATACCCAACTCTTCAATCCCAATCCTCGGGTGACCCCAGCCCCCTCTTTGGGGCCCAAACCGTCGAAGGATGGCAGCTGAGTGGGGTGCTGAACTGCAGCTCCCCTCAAGACGACCAGGCTGGCGTTCGGAAACCTCGGGACGGACGAAAGACGTTCAAGCACACACTTGCAGTCACCTGCTGGCTGCTGATCTAAGACGGAAGCCAGCGAAGTAGGTCGTCCGCATTTGCCACCATGCTACGTGCCTTTGGACCGGCCTCTCAACTCTCGCTTTCTTGGCTCGTCTCCCCAAGTCCCACACGTACCGCTCCGTGGGCTTTGCCATGGCAAGCCCAAGTTGGCCAAGGCCGAGCCATCGCCGCACCATGATCCGGACTCCGCCTCCGACGAAAGAAAATGAGATAACACCCACAGCTCCCCAAAGCCTCCAAGTGCGAAGACGAGGCTTTGCACTTGCCTTTCTTTCTCCGCCCACGAGTCGGCCGACGCGCCTTCGGCGCATGCGGAAGCCTACGAAACATCCCGTTCCCCGTGGCCAGCCTCTCAAGAGTCTCTGTCCGCAGCGATGCAGGCACGCAGTTTCTCTGTAGCTCTTGGTGAGGGCACATCCAGAGATCCTGAAAGGGGATATCCGAAGCGGCCTGTTCTGTGGCCTGGGCACCTTAGCCCGTGTTGGGCAAGGTGCAGGCATCCTTACTACTTCTACTTCACTTTCTGCGACGAGGCTCGATCCTGTCGCCGTGGGCAGGAGCCAACTCCAATTTGCATGCAGCTTCGGCCTCAATGCCGATCGACGGGGCAAGGTCGGTTGGGTCCTCGGATGCTCCGTTGGGGGAGTACTCCCCCGAAACGTCTTTCGATGTTCAGCCATCCCTTGGGCCACTCAGGACTGGACTCCGAAGCTATTGCCGTCCAGTCCTCTTTTCGTGCCAAAGCTTTTGGCATGCGGATGCTTCAAACCCAGATGTTGCACAGTGTTCACTTCATCAGCTTGCTGCGGAGTTGTAACGAGTACCGCGATGCCTCGCCGCGGAACGAGTGGTGGGGCCACACCTCGCCAGCTAACAGATTGTCGCACATCACCTCTTGCACACGTAGAGCAACAGAGTTTCTGGCCATCTGTGGGCATCGCCAGTCATGGTCAGGTCTGAGCGATGCAGGACAGTGTCACACTCAATGCAAAGGCCTTCCGAGAATTTGCCAAGGGATCTCAGGTCTCGACTCTGCCGGAGCTGGTTTGCGAAACCGACCCCGTGACCTCAATCGACTCGATCGGTGGCCCAACTTCTTGCCCGACAGTTCACCTTTCTCGTGAAAAGCTGTGGGCCAGTCTTCCAAAGAAGTCGCGCTCGCTCATGGGCGTCAGGAAGCCTGAGCCAGTTCCATGCATCTGACTCAGAACAGATCAACAGCGCAGCCCTTGAAAGAACTGCAAGCCTTTGAACCTAGGGAAGCGACAAAGCTTGGTCGGCATACCGATGCCGGCAACGCATCTCCTGGATCTTGAAGTCAACTACAGCCTACGGCAACTGATAAGCCTATTGGATGCGGCGGGCTCGGATTGCGTTGAGAAACGAGCAGCACGGCGCTCCCCGTCTGCACACATGAGGCCCATCGAGAGGTGAGCTTTGACCACGTCTGTTCTGAGGTCCTCCGCACACGGAATGCGGGCACATTCGAGCGTCCATGCGGGGCCAGCAAGCAGATCCTCCGACTCGAACTTGGTTGGCTGCTCTCCCTTTGGAACCTGCCGCAACCAATCGAAGTATTGGGCCCTGAGAGTGCGGACCTTCAGGATTGCAGCGAAGTTGCACGTGCCTGGATGTATTGCATCCCCTGCCCTGTCACTTCAACGGCTTTCTCATACAGCTTTGGCATGTTGTGCCGCGCCGCGATCTGCGAAGAAAAGTGGGATAAGGGCACACTCACGGAGTCACGATCACTCACGCACGTCAGCGCTGCACTTGTCCAAACCGGGCCTCTAGGACTTCGTCGGGGGAAAGCTCGATGGCCTCGCGGCACCGCGGGTCCAACAGGAAGGCCTCGCACCTGGCGTTTGGCAAAGCGGGCCCCAGCACCCTGCGACGTCCCACGAATCATGCAGGCGGCGCTGTCCTCGGATGTGCTCCACACCGAACTCCTGGCCAGCCAAGCTTCAAGAAACCACTCTTCTTCGAACTCTTCCCGGGGGCCTGGTTCCAGTGGAGAATCTGCAGAAAGTTCACCGGGCTGAGGTCACCGCTGGGACCTGACTGGGCCAATGGCCCAAGAGCGCTCCGGCTCCGACAGCATCTTCTTACTATGTTGCCAAGATTTGCCAAGCTTGTGGCCATCTGCGCCCTGCAGGAAGTTAAGGAAGGCGCGGAAGGAGTCGGCCTGCAAAAGGGAGGAGGGGGAGGCTCAAGTAGTGTCGTGAAGGCTTCTGCTCTGGCGCGTGGCATCTGAAAACTTTTTCGCAGGCCACGCAGCTGCTAGTCTTGTATCGCCCCGGAAGGGATCTGCCCATTGGCAGCTTGCGAGCTGCTGGGATCAGCGCCGAACCTCAGTCTCTCGCAATGCTTTTACCAACGTGGGGATCATCAGACTCCCAAAGACGATCACCATGGAGCACAACGGGGACCCGAGTCGCAAGTCATGACATGACGAGAATGACGAGCTACCCCTCTGGCGATCGGCGGCGCTTCGCCTCTCCAGCCATCTGCCATTGAAGAGGAAGCTCTTCGCTGTCCCCCTGGGCCACGCTCGCAACGGCTGCAGCATCACGGAGAATCGATTGCGCATCGATGCTTCGCCTAAGTTTCAGGGCTATCAGCGTATCAGTTGCAGATGTTGCAGGCCACAAGCTCTGCCGACTCTTGTCGAACAGCCGTCCGAGCCCAGGCGCTGCTTCTTGCCATCTCCAGTCCGCCTTCTTCCTTTGGACCCGCCTGCGTGGAAAGCTGCGGCTCAGGCGGCACAGGCGGGCACAGCCAAGAAAAGGCGAAGAGCACGGAAGAGCATCGAAGAGCCTGAAAGCTGCTCCAGGATCTGGCGCTGCTCCGCCAGCCAGTCCGCCTCTGAGCTCAGCGAGGCAAGATCAGGTCCTGCCACGAAGGCTTCGATAGCTAAGACTGCTAAGACTTCAAGAACCGAAATCAGACTGGCATCTGTCCTGTCCTGCTAGTTGGGGTCCGGTCGGTTGAAGGCCCTCGAACTCCAGTACAGTGCCACAGCCCAGGTGGACACGGAAGCCCTCTCCGCTCACCTAAGCTCCCGCTGTGCCGCGGAAAGCGTTGCTCGTAGTTCCCTCAAGTGGCTTCCAACCTCGCTGCTAAGCTCTTCGGCTCCCGCACCGTCAAAATTTCTGGAAAAAAGGATTCGGAAGTACGGCGGTTCACCAAGCATAAGGACCGTAACCTGATGATGCAATTCCATTACCAGTGTTGGGGAATTGCTCGCTGCAAAGTGGCTTTGAAGAATCACAGAACCCAGCCGACCGTCACGTGCTGAACCAAAACTGCTCACAAGCTCGTCTTGTCGCCCCAAGTCCCCTGCCCAACACGTCCGATCCCCCTGCCATCAGGAAGCACTATTTGTGTTGCACTCGTGGGTGCTGGGAGCATGAGTGCACAACAGGAAAGCGGATCCTTCTAGAATCTAGAATAGCCAAGGCCAAGGTGCCACCACTTCGTCATCGTCCACCTCTCTTCGGCAGGAGGCACAATGCTCCCGATGAGTCGTCACGAGATAAGGAGCACTCATCCGGTGGAGACAAACAGCTGCGGCAGAGATGCAAGGTGGCTGCAACTACAACCGCAACTTTCGAGCATGCTCCGCTTGCAAGCATGCCTCCCCCTCCAGCTCTATGACGGCGAGATTCGGATCCTGGACGCATGGCTTGACTTCCGACTGAGGGTCCGGCACACATGATTCGAAGCCTGCCCTGCCTCTGCCAGCTTGTCCGCCCACACCGGTGAGTGCAAAGCCAGGTACGGCCACGGTATCTCGAAAGGCTCACCGCCTGGTCAAGACAGCTCTAAGCTGTTCGAAGGAGGCATCAGGTCTGCATCGCCCGCGCCTACCACAAAGGTCAGCAGCCCACGTCGAGCTGGGCCCGGTGGCATCTGAATCCAGGTCTTGGCTTCAAGCTGCTGAATTTCGATCCTAGCATGTGAAGTAGAATAGAAGAGGGTGCTGTCTCTCCTTGAGCAAGCTGGCTGCAAGTAGAAAAAATTCCAAGCAAATCATCACCTCTGGCATGCAAGAGAAGAGATGGCAAATCATGAAAATCTCGGCAACCGGTGCCTCGCTGACAGTCCGAAGCGGAGACCGAAAGCCAACATGAGCGGATGAGCGCAGATGCGAGGAGAGGCTTCGCTACGAGCGCCGGCCTTCTACAGTTTCACTGTCGGCACCGGACAGGATCCTCTGTTCGACACTACTGTACTGTATCAAAGAAGAGCCACAAGAAGAGAGCACGCGCAGACGCATGTACTGTATCCAGGCTTGCAATCATTTTTGTCAGATGCAGCCTGCTTGCCAAAAGTGTCAGCAGCCGTGTCCTTCCGAAGAGCATCGGAGCTCGTCCATTCGTCCTGCAGCCAGACTCTCACAACCCACAAAACCACTTGGCACTGTGGGAATTGCCAAGGCCGATCTCCTCTGCTTTGTCAGGCGGAGCATCTGATCCTGCGTCTACAGCTTCAGAGTGCAACATGATCAGATCCCAGGATGTCCAAGGCCTGCCATTCGAGCACGAATGGAGGCTTGGAAGCGTTGCACGGCCTCCGCTGTCACCGTCTGAAGCGGCCCCCCCAATTTGTGTGCCACGTCCTCCCGTGCCCGGCGATTCCGAGCTGTGGGCCGGGGCATCTCCTCGGCCAGAAGAAAGGCGCGAAGAAACGCGCGAAGAGGCGGGGAGCCGTCTGGGAGGTGGAAGCCACTCCTCGCATCCGAGACATTGCCAGGAAAGTGAAACTCATGAGCCGCGGCACTTTCACGGTCCTCCCCCAATAAGCAATAGAACAGCTATTGGCACCTGAGAGGCAAGCAAGAGGACGAATTAGGCTGCTCGCTGCTCCTTGACCCCTCGCCTTCAGAAACGCCTGCCGCTTTGGGCACGGCTCACACATCAAACAGATGCGTGGAGCTCTGCTTCCAGGGAAAACTGGCCTGTGCCAAAATTAGCTCCTTGCCTTGCCGTATTCTGGAACTACGTGCAGCAACCTTTTAGGGAGCATAGGGTTTATCCGATCCCTAATGTAGGGGTGGCGTTGCCGCAGTGTCGCAGTGTCGCTTTGGCGAGCCAAGCGGCCAGCTGGCAGATGTTATATCGTGCTGAAAACTGCCCTCGCTAAGCCTTCGTGCAGCAGCAGCTGGATGGACTTTTCAGGCATCGTCCAGCCATCGTCGAATGTCTGCAGCCTTGACCTCGGTACACAGGGGCTCCAGGCTGCTTCCCCGGCCAGGGCACATAGTCCACAGGCGTGAGAGTTCTGCCACTAGCCGTCCTGGCGACGTCGGCGAAGGCCTCGAGGCAACATGCCGGCACTACGACTCCTCCCGTCTGCGGCTGCACGATTGCAAGCAATTGGCCTCACCCTCAGCATTGCGGAGCGAGTCTGTTTTCTTCTGTGGCTGCGCAAGCCATGCACAACCACAAGTGTGGGTGCAAGCATTGCTAGTCCACTCCATGACAACCGGAGTAGGGATCGATCCAAAACACTCCTGCTGTTCTGAAAAGTGCGTTTTGGTGTGTCCTATGGGTGTACTTGCATGGCACAATCGGACTTGCAGGGGTCTTAACAGCAGCTTGGAGTGCAAAAAGCTCCCTGGCGGCACTCGCAAGCACGTCTGTCGTCATGCAACTCTTCTGCAGCCTCAGGCAATCGTCACATAGCCGCCATTTTGACGAATCACACATGTGAGCACAAGCCAGCATGCGAGACTCAGGCCTGTTCGGCGCGGCAAAAGTTGTTAGTCACCACATCCCTCTCTCCTGGTCAAACAGCACTGAAGTGAGCTGAAGCAGGCTGGCAGACTGCCCATCCCCTTCGTGCGTCCTTCATGAAAGCCATGAACTCCGTTTGGCTCACCAATCCATCCTTGTCCTTGGCGGGCCAGGTAGGGCAGACGGTGTCAACCAGGTTGGAGATGCAGCGCACTCGCGCCGGATGATTGCGAAGCGGAATTTTCACATGTTCTGCCGCAAAGGAGCCCTGTCTGCAAGATTCAGCATGTCCTCGCGCATGCAAGAGCAGTCAACGGCAATTCCAGAACACAGGGCAATGTCAGAGAGCTTCCTGCAACTCCACGTCACTCAAGTCTTCGCCGAGCGCCCTTGCCACAGAGTCAGATCGAGAAGAGCTTGGCATCACAGAAACTGCCTCGAGACCCGCTTCAACTTCTGGAGGGTGATGTATCCTCAGACGATGCATACAGCTTCTTGGAAGCTTGTCACCCATGCAGGGCCCACAGATTGTTCGCTGTGTTCCACAATGCAGCTTTGCTTCCAAGGCCCTCGGGGTCGAACCTTGCGCTCATCATCGTGGAAACGCATGGGAGGACCGATAAGCTTCAACGAAACAAGATCAGATATCCGCTGAGCTGAGGCACTGCTGAAAGGCCTTCTCGACCCTGGGCTTCCGTTCCATCATTTTCCTCGGGTCCAGAAAGTCTGATGTTGACAAGGATGGGGGGTTGGACGATGGCAGGAGGAGGATGTCAACAACGATGACGGCGAGCACAACGACGATCACGACCACGACCACCACAACCACGTTGAAGATTACGACCAACAACAACCACAACCACAACCACCACCATGACGACTAGTAAGTACCATTGACCACAGTGTGGAGCACATTCGGTACAATAACAGCAACAACAAGAAACGAAAGAATATGACCATGATAGGGATAATGATAACATATGGTAACAACAACAATGGCAACAAGTTGCAAGCAGTAACAATGATAATAAGAAAGATCCTGAAAAATGTTCTTATTATGCAAAATGCGAGTCAAATTCATTTCCGTGGTGCCAACTGCTGGTCGTGGCAAACTCATGCCTGGTTCGATTCGTCTGACTAGTGCGGATGACACTGAATGTACCTATGGTTGCATTGATTACCATCAACTAGCTAGGGTAGCAACAGAGCCAAGCCGTAGCAGTAGCGGCAGCAGCCTCTGTAGACATAGTCGTCGTCGGGGTGGTGAGTGATGAGTAGTCGTCGTCGTCATCATCGTCGTAGTTGCCGTCGCAATCCCAGTAGCCGTAGCAGGGGCAGTTACAGCAGCAGCTGTGGCAGTAGTTTACAGTGGTGCCCAACCCAGTCGTCATCGTCGCCACCGTCGTCGATGTCGCTGAACCTGTCGAGGTTTATCTAGAGCAACTAAAGTTGAAGCACCTGCATCATTAGAATGGTGAAGAGGTCCGACAATGGCAAATGCAGATGGATAGCAAAGTCAGGGAGAGAAAGAGAGACAGACAGACAGACAGACAGAGACAGAGACAGAGACAGAGACAGAGACAGAGACAGAGACAGAGACAGAGACAGGGAGACAGATAGAGAGAGATAGAGAGAGATAGAGAGAGATAGAGACAGAGAGAGAGAGAGAGTGCACTGAAAACTTGAGCGCCCGGCCTGATGACCATGCAGCCTAGCAGACTGCTACGGGTGCTTGCATGTCCTTAACTTACGTTTTCCTTAAGGCTGTCGATTTTGGGACCACCGTGAATGCCCAGGCTTGCAAGGACCGAAGGCTGGAAACCAAGTTCATCTGCGTAGCCCCGGTGTGGTGAAAGTCAACCCTCCCCCTCCCGCGAGTCGACTCTGAGCTGGCGAGCAACGGAACTTGTCGAAGTTCAGTGGCCCACTTCCGGTGTCGTCTATCTGCATACAGTAGTGGATGCTGTTCCAACACGACGGTGAGTCAGAGTCAGGATTCACAAGGGCACCTACTTGCACCACTCGCGATGCATGCATAGCTACGACAGTGCCGGCACGGCAGAGCCTGAGCAATCATTCTGCCGACTTCTTCTTTCGAGTCCTTGAAACCCAGCTCTCTCATCACAAGGTGGAGCTCCTGCAAAGGTATGTTGGGAATGATCTGCACTTCGCGCTCGGTTCAGAAGCGGGTCCTTCGCGTTGATCTCGCCGGATCCATCGGAATCACAAAGATCAAAGGCTGCCTTGACCTCCTGCGCCACCAGATGCTGCCAGCATCTGAGGAACCCTGGCATCGCCCGTCCGCCTTCAGCATCTCCCGGCTGAGCTGCTCGTCAGCCTCCGACTCAAACGAGTCAACCCTCCGAGCTGCGATCCACTGCGATCCATCCAGCCTCTGTGAAGCTGAGATCCTGCAGGAAAGGCAACCTCACAAGGCTCAAACTGCCGACCTCCAAGGTCCTGCACCACCTGCTTGGCCGAGAGGGACCAGGAGCGATGCAGTCTCGGACCTCTGTTTAAAGCGGACGAACACAGTGCCTGTCCTTGGCAGAGCCCAAGGCCAAGGCCAGCACCCCCGGCCGATCCCGATCGCTCCTTAGCCGTTTTAAACGCTTCTCTCGACATTCACACTCTGAAAGCAATCCCTGCTGAGCCTTTCCCCGTGCCCCCGTGCGGTGTGTTGTGCAGGTTGTGCAAACCTGTTTCTGGCATCCTGGCTACGTTTCAACCAGGACTCGCGGCTACAGTACCAGGCCCAAGAGGGATGCCCGCGAAAAGGAAGCTCACTCAACCGGGGCGACAGAAAGTTCTGCGTTAGACTGGAGCAGCCTCTATGTCAGCATCCTCTGTGCCGTTGCTCTCCAATTTCCTTTGCAAGAGGACAGCTGGCCATGTGAGCTTCATGCTCCCAAAGTTCGGTCCCCCGGCAGGGAGCCACTTATGTTTGTGAAGCTCACCAAGGATCAGCTCCATCGGATATGCATAGGGCCACCAACTGTTCTGAAGCGAGCAGCACGCATGTCCTGTGGTCATCTTGGTATTCCTGAAGGCTATGTCGTAGTCTTGGTCATAGTCATCTTTAGCACACTGGACATCCGAGCCGCTCATGACCTTGAGCCCATTGAGGATACCCTCCGTCACCTCCTTTCCCACTCCTCCCAAACACACCTTTCCGGGCCAGTTTTGGTCCTTGATGGCCACAAAGGCTGTTTCAAAAGGAGCGCCGTCGTACTCCCAGAAGAAGGTTGGCCATGAGGCACCCATGCCTCCGAAGCTTGGACAAGCTATTAATTTCCAACCTTGCTTGCCCATGGTCCGCGTCAGGGCCATGATGCTGTCGTTGCGAGGGAAGTATGCGGTCTTGAAGCTGAAGGCCTGGTGTCCGGTCGTAATAGAGGTGTTGCGGATTACATGCTCCCAGTCGGTGTCGTACTCGTCTTTCGACAACGCCACTTGATCGTGCCCTTTCACGCTCCTTAAGGCCCCATGCAACAGCTTTGCCACCTCACCGGTGTGAGACGGCGAACCTGAGAGGCAAAGTTTGCCTGGGATGTTCTGGTCTTTGACCGCGGCAAAGACGAGGGCAGGAGGTGTCGCTGGAGGATTCAGCAGGCGCTTGAAGATGAAGCACGGCCAATCCACGTTGTTGCCCCCGAAATTCGGCGAGGACACCAGCCGCCAACCGATCTTGTAGACCTCTTCCAAGATAGCATAAAGGACGTTGCCTTTGGGGAAGTAAGGTTTAGCTAAGCTGAAAGCCTGCATACCAGAAGTCAGCGAGGTGTTGCGATAAACCACGTCCCACTCTTGGGCCGTGTCGTAGTCATCGAAGCTCTCGTTGGCTTCCGGGCTCACTTGCTTTAATCTGCTCGCGAAGTCGCCCTTCAGCTTCTCCTCGGAGTTCAGAGTCGGCACTGTATGTCTAAGACAACTCGAGGTTTAAGGCGGACAAGCAACGACGGCATCGGGAGGGCCACAGATGCAGAGCTTGCCAGGGATGTTCTGATCTTTAATGCCGATCAAGAGTGTTTCCGTGGCATAGATCTGTTCGACGTCCTGGGCCAGGTGGTGCAGCTGCGGAGTTCTGAGGGCATGAAACCACGTGACATGCACTGGGATCGCCCGAGCCTTTCGACAGATGAACATTGGCCATTCCACAGAAGCCTTGTCGTCGATGGGGCCTCCGTAGCTGGGCGCCGCTGAAGGAATCCATCCATGCTCACCCAGGGCATCCAAGAGCCCCACCACCTCTAGAAAGATTAACGACTGTTTCAGACAAACTCTGCAGCTCTCTCTTGAGAAGGCTTCCTGCAAAAAACTACAGCCAAACCATCCGCTGCATGCAGTCTCGACACATTGCGACCAATCGGGAAGAACGGCTGTTTGAATGACATGAATTGGTATCCGCTGGTCATCTTAGTATTATGCCACGCAACATCCCAGAGCTTGTCATGCTCATCCGAAGCCCGTTTCACCCCAGCATTCGTCTTCTTAAGAGCTTTATCCACGGATTCTAGTAACTGCGGCTCGCTCGTTGCAGCACCACTCAGGTATACCTTGCCTGTCATGTTCTGATCCTTGACTCCCAAAATAAGGAAGGCTTTGCCAAGCCCATTGCTGCGAGTCTTCCCGATATACGCAGCAGAAGCGGGATGGTCGACATTTACAGATCCGCAGCAACCCATGGCTTCCAGGCTGCGGGAACACCGTGGCTACTTGGCAGAGGACAGCGCTTGGCATGAGAGCCCAGATACGTTGAGTTTCGATCCAAGTCACGCAAGTTTCAAGGCTTCTGTCCCACAACTTGTGGGTCAATAATGCTTGTCGAGCTGACTCCAGCTGTCTTAGGCCCTTGCTCCGTTTGCCCCTGCATGTCGATTGCTTTTCCTGCAGAGCAAGCACTGATCTTCTGCTCACATCTCACGAGTTTGACAGAGCATTGCAGCAATCCTACGTCCACATAGCCACTGCATGAGATGTGTGATGCTTTCGTCAAGCTGGCTTTCAGTGCTTGCTTCTGCTCTCCGACTCTATCAGCGCACATAAGACTCGGTAAAGATGGCTTACATGATGGGTCCCAACCTGCTTTCGACGCACCAAGGCTGAGAACCGAAAAGCGCATCGACGCATCACGTCCGGACGACCACCAGTGCGGAAGGACACAGCTGGGCAAGTCACGCCACGGGCATCCGGAGCTCACCTGGCCAAACGCCAGTGGCAGCGGCTTCATCTCCGGTGTTGGCAGAGTGTTGTGGTAAGCATCAAGGGCCGGACTCAGCAACTTGAGCACAGCAGGTCCAACCTACCGGTACAACGAGCGGCGATGCGAGTCTGCCAAGCGGCAGACTGTCGCGAGCGGAGGAGGGGCTAGGTGCGCTGCGACTGGCTGGCCACCGGCGCTATGGTGCCCCACACCAACGACCTGGTGGCACTCCTACTTTCGATAGTCATCGGTCGCAGGGCCACAAATTGCGAAGTACAGCAGAATCGGAGCTTCCCGATCAGGTTATAATTCTAATGATGGAACTGAGCCACATGAAGCTGAGCTCTTGACGATGACGAGGTCAGCCAAAATCTGCTTTCCAAGGCAAGCGTTTACGAGCATCTCCAAAAGCGAAGCCTCAACCTCAACGAGTTTCTCGAGGCTTTTGGTGTCTGTTGAGACCAGGAGAACCAAGGGCGCTTGTGGTCGACTCTTGCACTCAGGCGCCGGCAGCGAGCTTCGCTTGCTCCGCAAGCAGGCCATGCAGGTCGATTACCCCAGCCTTCCACGGTCATCGTCAAGATGCCTCACCGACATGCAACGGCCGCCTCGAAGCTGTGCAGGTGGCATGCGGCCTCGGCTTTGATTAAGACAGGTACCCAGGTACGCTGTCACCATGTGGCCGCTGGAATTCTCTAGGCATCAAGCTCCCCTCTCGCAAGCCTCTCTGTACAGGGCAAGCGCCTGCTCGCGCCATAGGATCGATCCATGAACTCAACACGATGCTCTTGACTCTTGATGCAAGCATGAACTAGCTGCATGCTCGAAGAACTGCACTAGAGCTACAGGTAGAGCAAGACACAGACGAACAATTGCCTCTTGCCTGTGAGCGCTGAACATGATCGACAGAGGCAGCAGCTAGAACTGCCAAGGTAGCCGCGCTGAAGGCGAATTCATCAGGCTCCTCCTGCTACAGTGGCAACGAACCCCAAACGGGAGCACGGAACTGACAGCTTGTCAAACGGAACCGCAAAATCTGCTTCTCGGCAAGCGTTTTCTGCAAGCTACATGTCAACCCTCGGAGAAGCTCGGAATCATGGCTGAGGCTTGAACCGACTGTTGAAGGAGATGAACAGCAGACTCCCAAAGAGCCCCGCACAAGCATGCCTGCAGATCCCAGCGACCAAGGAATTGTTTATGCAAGATTTGTACATGTGGCAACTGACGGCACTCGAACGCACTCGCTGTCCTGGATCGCAACGTTCCACGTCTGACGTCCAGGGCTGAGGTGTATGGAAGCCATTTCCTTGCGAACCCCAAAAAGACTACGGAAGTTCTCTGGGATGCAGTGAAACGCGAAACGGGCTCCTCGAAGAGCAGGAAGGCACGCTGCCACTGCTCAGCCTGGCGAACACTTTGAAGGCGGATCTGCAGCACACAGTCTCCAAGATTGCTTTGCAGGATCTGAAGCAAAGCAGCTTCAGACAAGTGGAATGCCATGATGGCCGTCGGAGGGGTAGCTGGGTTTGGGGCTAAGGTTTCAGGGTTGAGGGTTTAGGGTTCACGGGTTTCAAACAGAAGGGCTCAGGAGTTTGGGGTTCCGCGGTTGAGGGTTCAGGGTTCAGGTGTTGATGGCCCAGGGTTGAGGGTCTAAGGTTGACGATGTGGGAGTTAAGGCTTTGGGTTATGGGTTCAGGGTTGAGGGTCTCGTGTCCGGGCTTGGGACGAGGGTTAAGGTTGAGGGTTGCAGGGTTCAGGGCGGTTAAGAGTTAAGACCCTGATCCTAAACCCCATTTCCCCCACCGTAAAGCCCAAAAACCTCAACACTAGATCTTAAACCCCTGTACCTCAAAACACCCAAACCGTAAACCCTCAACCCTTGTGCCAACCTCTGAACCCCTAAACACCAAACCCTCAAAACTCAACCTTGCACTTAGCTACCGTGAGGCTTCAACCCTTAGGCTCCAAACCCGAGACCCTCAACCCCAAACCCCAGATCCTAAATCCCTTAACCCCTAAACCCCTAACCTTCTACACCCGTAACCCCTTCAACTCTAATCCTGCAAGGCTTTGACGAATTCCCCCTGTCGCGAGCCGGGCGAGCCCTCTGGCAAGCCGTCATAGCTGCATTGCATGGAATGACCTTGGTCTGATTCGGAAGTGCTCGCAAAGGTGTCTGAATGGCTTCTGAGGAGCGGGACGTGCACATCAAGCTGGCGAGCCTCGGTACGTGAGTAGACTCTAAGCAGGCTCAGACACGGCCATCAACAGCATTAAAAATCGTCCGGACCGTCGGGGCAAAGGCTCTGATCCCGGCGAACAACGCCAACGAAGCCTCCCAGCTGGAACCCTTGGCCTTGGAGACGCTTTCAGAGGCCCGAAATGGACAATGTAACGATGAGGAAGCCTGGTCCCGCACGCAGCCTGCCAGAATGGCAGACAACGTGATGGCATCCGCCACACCACCATCCGCTTCAAAAGCCTGGCACCGCCGGCTCTCTGACACGCTCCCACCGTACAACACCTCACATTCCCAGATCTCGCACCTCGAACTGCTGCAGAGCTCGAGGCCACTGTGAAGACTCTCCCAGGACGGAAGCAAGCGAGCCCAGGGTCATGTTGTTGCTTTGCACCTGCAAACACCGCTTGGCTGGGCTTGCGAGCCGGATCAAGGAAAGACTGGGATAATAGTTGGAAAGATGTGGCGGTCAGAGCCCAGGCATGCGTTGTTGAAGAATAGCTTGCAAATCTTAATGATGATGGGTCAGGTAACTTCACTCGTGAAGTTTCAAACACAAACTGCAAGATAACATGATCAAGACCGTGGTGTCGTTGTGCCGTTCTGTGCCCCTCAACGCACCGATCAATTGCAGCTTCTGGGAGCTTCGTGGCTTCGTGTTTACAAATCCATAGACGAATACGATGGGACTGGTCGCATGCCTGGCTGTTTTGCATGTCGGAGAACAGATGCCTGGGCTGCGGAGATGGACGAGATAAGAACCGGCACCAAAAATGATCTCGGAAGCTGGCAAAGCCAGTGTCCAATGATTTCCGGCCCCGGTTGCACCAATCGAAGCCTGAAAGTAGATGTTGAGGGCAACTTCTATTGCATCCATCGACACGCAGTGCGACTTGGGCGTGAACGTTGTATGTCATGCTACTGGGCTGAACTTGTCTCGAAGGCAAGGATGCTGCGAGGTCAAGTGCGTGTTGCCACTTGAATGCCTTTGCAAGGCAGTGCGCAGCAAACGACCCAAGAAAAAGCTCCAGGAGATGAAAATGCGTCGCATGTACTGTTACAATACACTAGACTTGAAAACTGGGATCGTGCCTTGGCAATGCAACTGATGGCCGCATTCAGAGATGCAGCATCCTAAGCACCGCTGGCTCTCGCTAGCAGGGGCTTTCTGCTTGGGATGGGCTTCCATTACGCCGAGCAGCCTCCGCCTGTTCCAGAATTTGTATTGCCGTGGTCCTCGTCAGTCCGAACACTAAGGGCGGCTTTGCGAAAGAGCCAACTTATTAGAGCGACTGGTAGTGACTGAACATATGTCCCTCTGACTAGGCAGTCAAGCTCTACATGAGCAGCGATTTCCACACTAAGGCACTCGCCACTGGTGACCTTTTTCGCAGGCTGCGATTGCCTGACACGACGCTGCAAGCCACTCAGACTCCCGTGCCGAGTTCAATTAGGCACCGGCGGAAGAAAACACGAACTTGTTCAGCAGCTCCTCGGAGCCGCGAGCCTGCGGCGACCCCACGTCCGTATCGAGAATCGAGAGGCACGTTTACGCCCGCAAGCTTACAGAATCTTCAACATCATCCCAAAAGGCCAAGACTAACACATGGCAAAAGGGCGGGGGCAGGAAGGATGAATGCAATTGACGACTTTTCCCCGACATGAAACCGTTCAAGCTACGGCAGAGAACCTGGCACACAGGCGATTCAGGGCAGATGTGCTGGTGTGCTGATGCACGTGAGTTCAAACAAGGAAAGATATCGAAAATCTCGGATTCACCGGATGCCTTCTGCTGAGAGGCAGTGGGACCCGGGCGGCTTCTGTCCGTCAGTGCCCCTCCCAAGTGGCCGATACCGAGATGGTTTTTTGGGGCTCTGCATGGATCCTGTGCGATGTTCATTGCAGCTGAAACACTTCATTTCGCCTCAGCTTTCCTCACAAACGGGAGACAATTGCTAGGGTTTTCTAGGTGTTGAGACGCTGTGCTGCTGCCGCCTTTGTCAAGCTTCAAGATACCACAGCACCCGAATGATCGAGCTAAGCCGGCAAAGTGGGCAAAAAAAACTCTCCAAAAAAAGCTGCAGCTTCACTGTCTGCAGTCAGACGTGCAATCTCTCCTCCTCCATCAGACGGATGCTGAGATCCTCAGACGCCGCTTGCAAACATCCCTGAACCGACTTGACCAAAACAGGCGGCGACAACGGTGCAAATGAGATCGGCTTGCGGGGCTTCACCACAAGGCAGAACTGAGTCCCAGGCCCATCTAGTACCATGCGTCAAAGCTGTCATCGTGGTGCTGAAACTGACAGCCTTCATGCTCGCAGTCAACGCAAGAGACATGATTTCGTTGCAGGGAGCCGTTGAACTCGGAGTCTGGCATTGGGTGGAGCACCACGCAAACCCATTTGCCGGAAAAGCCGCAAGGCCCGTTGCCACTGCTGAGCCCTTGATTTGATAACAGACTGAGGACAACATGAGCTCAGCCGTTGAAGCCGGGAAGCCTCTCGCACGCCTTGATCACAACGTTGAAGAGCACAACCTGGGTCAGAGGAACCCCTGGGCAAGTGCTCCAGGAACCGCGGTAGACACTCACAAGTCGCAACTTCAGTGCATATACCAGCTCATGCCGCTTTTCGCTCGGATCCACATCCACCCGAAGACGAGTCTGCAAGCTTTCGCAGCTCAATTTCTGAACCGGAAGCTTCTGCAGATAGCACTTTTACATAGTCGCTGCCACTCGTTCCGCGCTGGAGGGGCTGGCAGATTGCATCACGAACTCACCGGGATTCTCGCTTGTCTTCCCCTGTGTGCCAAGCAAACTTCACCGAAGTTACCTGGGCAACCAAGAAAGATCATGAAAGGCTTTCCCATGGCATGCCTCTCACAGGCGAAGCTTTTGCTGCCACGGAACAAGAGTCAGTGCCAGAACAGTGCTGCGAATTTGCGGAGTGATGGCTCCAAGTGGCAGCAGCAGCAAACAAAAGGCAAGCGCGGCAGCATGCAGCGTCCAACTCCTGGACTTAAGCAAGTTGCAAGCTTTTGTAGGAGTCAACAGGGCCAAGCCGGCTGGCGGGTGTCCTTGCGTCATAGAAGTCCTTCAGCAGCGTTCGCACAGTTTCTCCACTTGGGTCCGACACAGCCAATGCCTGGAGCAGAGTGAGAGAAGATCGTGATCGCGGCTGCAGGGCCTCTAAGACTATAAGTACTGGGGCCGCTTGCCTGGGCCAGCTTGGGCGGGGCCTGTTTCAGCAGCACTTTGGCGGCCTGCCACTTCCTCTCCCCGAGACCGGATTGACTTCGCCTCGCAGTGAGCCGTGAGCCGACTGAACTTTCTGGCAAGGCTGCCTCCTGCGCCCGGCCTAAGTGACGCGGAGTTCTCCGCGCGCTCACGGCGCGAGCCACAGATGCCTTCGAGCCTCGTCGGCGCAGTCGCACTCTTTTGCCGAGCACATTCTCTACCTAGACCTCCCTGATTACATACAACGAGGCATAGTGCCGGCTCGTCACTGAGCTCGCGGTGGCGCCCGAAACCACATTAAGGCATCCATGTAACCTGACGAAGACTCAATCGGCTCGTTCAGTTGCATCTGCTGAACTGGTGCACCTTGCCAGTATAGCCCACGTAGTACACGAACCGGTGGGGGCAGGATGCACCACCAAGGAGGAATGAGAGGCGGGCGAATGTCCGACCTTTTCCAAATGCAACACCAAAAACAAAAAATCATCAGCTTCATGGCAGGTGCAGCGTGGTGCAGCGCGGTGCAGCAGAGGCGCATGACTCCTCCAATACCGGAGACTTTCACGATGTGGTCCTCTTTGGCACCACGCCATGGCACAAAGAGCGAGCTCCACATCATTCCATCGTAGTAGTACCTCCACGAGAAAAGAACGCACTTGCCCTCACATTGGATCATAAAAGTCTGCTGAGTCTGCATGGAATGCAGGAGAGCAGCTTTCCCCCGACATTCTTTGGAAGCACTCCGCAGATGCCAGGAATATGGCAAGAGGCCATGAGAAGTTGAATGGCCGTCTCATTGTCTGGGAACTCATCCACCACCTCGCCTTCGCACCATTGCATAAAGCTGCCAACACCCACAGATAGCGCAAAACTTTGGGGGTCTGGCCCATTATAAATGGCGGACGAAATAGCGCTCGGGTGATCAGAATCCGTAGCCTGCATGAAGAAGTGCGATCTCTTGTTCATGCTGACTGCACACCCCTGAACTCCACAAAGTTCTCAGCCTTCCAGCGATGACCTTGTAGGCGCCAGGAAATTGATACCTGGGAGCATGAGTGACTGGATCAAAGCCAAAGCTCGGCATGACGCACCGCCGCCACATCTCTTCAGAGCAAGACGCTGCCGTAAAGCCTCCTCCGCACATACCGGCATTTTCCAAGGCTGCCTGCGACAGATTTTGTACCTCATGGCACATCATGATCATCATGGTGCCAGCAAGCAAGTCTTGGCTTTAGGACAGTGTCAGCACAGGGATCTGTCCGGTATGTGCGACCCTTGTTGCCCGGAACCGCCTGTTCCGGCTGCGAGCGCGTCGAGCAGAGACTCTGCGAAAAATGCTGTCTACCTGCTTGACGGCATCACCGTAAGCATCCGCCCTCCAGCGGCTTCGCCTTCCCTGACATTATCCTTTGAAGGCAAAGCGTGAAAGAACTGCTCCGGCATTCAACCGGGGCTGAAGGTTACAGAGTTTTACCGAAGAAGCCAAACAGCCCGGAATGGGGAGACGAGAAAACCTTGCAGCCCGTCCTAATTGCACTCCAGGAAGCCGAAAACAAGCTTGTGGCATTCACTGAGCCGTTTCGTGAGAACGGGGCACGAGAAAAGACGAAAAGACAAGGCAGGGACGAACCAGTGATAGCAACTAGCAGCTTGCGGCTGAGGCACTGTGCCAACACGTGTTCGAAGACATCTGGCACTGACGTCCCAGAAGCCAGCAGCAGGGCAGTCAGCGCTCCGGCACTCCTTGCACTCACGGAATTCCGGAAGCCGAAGGCCCGGAATCAGGTCAGAGACTTGCAGAGTAGCGTCGAACCGCTGAATCCGAGACCATCCGGGTAATGGCTCGGATCAGGGGTGCTCCCAGGTGCTGGCATCAAGTGTTCCTGGAGTGACCAAACGAAAGGCCCATATGCAGGCGCGTCGGCACAGAACAGTCGCGAGTCGCAACCCAGCTTTGCAGCCAGGCACCTGCAGAAAGGCAGCGACCCCAAACCTGAGCAGCAGGCGTCGGGTGCCTCACAAATCGCAGGGAGATGCAGGCCAGACGCTGATAGACGTAGAGCCAACCAGCAGAGTCGAAGGAGAAGGTGACACGCTCCGACGGCATGCCAGGCTTCACCGCATCCTTTGAGTTACAACGGAAGGGGCGCTCCAAGAAGTACACCTCCCCACCCCCATCTCTTCGACCAGGCATTTACAAACTCTTCTGCAGCTTATTGCAGCTTGAAGGGCTCGCAGCGGATGGGTCTCGCGGAAGTGGAAATCCTGCAAAGCATGACAGAATCAAAGAGCCGAGCAGAACCGTCATCCATCACCACTGTGTGGGCGCTGCTTGCTTTCAGGGTCCGTGTACAGCACCACACCGTTGAGTAGGACCTCAATTCCCGAAGCAGGGGAACAGCCTCAAAGTATCAAAAGTGGTCGCGGTCTCCTGAAGACCACCTTGAAAGCTTGAGACATGTTGCGAAGACATGCAACATTGCCAGGCCAATAGGCAAGCGCCCAGTCACCGCCATAAACCTGACGAGAGTTTGCACAGTCCAGGTACTGTCAAGCTCCGGCTCTGACTTCGCTTTACTCCTGCTGTAGCAGTCGGCAGCTCACCTTAAGCGAAACTTTGCTCGACTCCTGCTCTCAAGCCTTGCAACAGCATCTCCTGGGGAGATCGAGGCCCAAAATCCGAAGGAAACCCCGAGCGCTTTAATGGTGAGGACCGTACACGTTGTGGAGCAGGCACACGACTGACGATGCAATCTGAAGCTCCGCAATCGGTGCCTTCCCATGTGCTAGGACCAGGAACGAACAAACACCAAGGCGTTCAAACTGAGAGAACGATCACTGTGTATCCTGCCTTTCGGAAGATTGGCAGCTTGTGTACCCCAAACAAGGCCATGCTGAATGACATATACCTGGCACCACTCTGCTCGCACAAATTGTGCATCACATGCGTCACAAGTAACCGCTGCGTTCAATCGAGATGCTGCAATGTCTGGGCGACGGAGGTCACAAGCGCTGGCACCAGCGTCGGCCCGACACAGGCGTAGTGGAAGCCGAAGAACCAACCCCACCTTTCAGCTGTCTGATTCCCAGATAACTACGCCTCGAAGCTTGATGCAACGTTCATCCAAGTGTGATGAAGGCACATATTCAACACGCGATAGTACATGTGGAAGAGCGATACATCAGAGAACTTCTTGCGAAGTATCATGAAAAACCTCAGATGTGACCAGACTCGGCAGCAATGCGCCACCCGACATCAACGAACGAACTGCATCAGTCGCCACGGCCGGGGAGCGTGTCCAGCAGCTCCAGCTGTCTGCAGTGGTACTGCAACCAAATAAGAGGCTCTGCAACATTCTTTGGCCTTCCAGCAGGTCCGGAAGCACATCTCCGCACGGCAGCGACACGAAAAGATGTGACATTGAAGACAGTCTCGCTGAGCACACGACAGAGAATCCAATCGAAAATCAGAACTGGCTGCATCATATACGATTGCAGCGATTTCGTAGACATTCAATAACACCTGCATGGAATTGTAAACCGCCATGAGTTCGAAAATGACCTTGGGTACATGCATCACACATCACGAACGCAGCTACTATCCTATCAAGTTTTACAGTCGAGTCGGGCCAACAAGATGATGTTTCCTCCTGTTGTGACCAAACCACTCATCTTGCGACTTGCATGTCGGTGTTGACGGTGGGCTCAAGTAATTTCTCCAGGATTGCAGCAGCTCTTCTTACAGAAATGACTGCAAAGCCACGTCTGAGAGAAGCTAATTCTCACAAACAGTGTGACAAAAATCTTGGGCTTGTACGCTGGGAGTTTTGTGTACATGGACTTGGTTAGTGATGGCGCGAAGCTCGCCCACAGCGACGATTGCAACCAAGGAAGGATAGCAAACCCCCAACAGCTTCAAGCGCGACTCTGAACCCTACAAGAAGGGGTGGCAAGTGGAAAGCCTCAAACCCGAATAGACCGCCGGCCACATTTACCGATCTCTCAACGGAGCGATGGGCCACCTTCAATGAACTCCCCTATGCGAACTGACGACTGAGCAAACCCATGCGAACTTCGGACTTGCGGCGGATCGAACTGGTGACCGACGCTCCATCCACCGCACGCCGATAAAGACCAGGAAGCAGTATGCGCAGGTCACTAGCACCTGGCCACTCTCGTATCGATCGGACGAAACACTGTAGCAATTCTCAATATGAAACAGACAACCCAATCCATCGACTCCTGTCTGAGGCCTGCACGGCACTGCCCCACCTAGCATGTTCGGAAGCTGCGGCACTGACTGCACGGTCAATGCAGGGACATGCGACGCTGCTTTCCAGGCCACTGGATGTCCGCAAGCTGGCGCGTGCCCAATTCAAAGGGGGCGGCAGGTCCAGCATGCACCATCTTTCCAAGCTGCGACATCACGGATAGCACATAGGCCATGTACCTGACTTGCTCGAGGAGGTGTCTGAGCTGTTCACCAGTAAGCGACACTTGCACACTTGCATACCTTGCTCCATTGTACTTCACATCGACACGCTTGCAACTTTTGTGCAATTGGGGTGCACGGCCGCCAGCAGCACTGCAATGGCCAAAGGCGTTCCAAGTGTGAGTCCGGTGGCCGCACTCTCAGCAATGAGGTTCACCTCCCATCGTGAACTGCAACGCAAACCCCGTAACCTCCAATTTTCCCATGTCGAAAGAAAGGCAATGGCCGTTGCAGAGGCCGTCATGGGAATCGCTGGAAACTTCGGGAAAAGCTTGGCGGCTTTAACGGCTGCGGGAGGGACAGCCTGGGAGAGCTGCCGCCTTCTCTGGTCCTCAGCTGTGACGAGAGCAGAGCAGCAGAGCAATTTTACCGTCCTGAGCTGTGCAAGGCAAGCCAGTGCAGAAGGGGAGCCACGAATCTTTCCTCGAACATGTGCGCAAACCTTCAGAAATGCAGTGCTTTTTCAGCCTCTGATCGGCCGGCTACTTCAGCCAAGCTTCATTTCAGGTGGCGCGACCTTCGAACAGTTGCGCTGAGCTTAAGGGGCATCGGAGAAGCCAAAATTGCAGACACACAGAACCACAAAAAGTCTTAAACGGGCCTGCAACGGTGCCGCCTCTTGTGGGATCGGCCATGACTGGTCTTCGCGCTCCATACCTGACAGGTCCCCAGAGAATTTGAGCGGGAGGGCCGAGGGCAAAGTGATGCGAAGTGCCTGCACAATCCCGTCACGACGCCCTGGAGCCAGGTCGGCCGGGTGCAAACATCCAACAGAGGTGCGTGGCAAGTCGACGATACGTGTGTGCAAGCCCTTTGGGCCTTTGGGTGATCTGCTTGTGTGCTTGACATTGCTTCTGCATGTTCGACAAGCTTGCATAACCAAATGCTTTCCCAACACATGGCATTTTGCATGCTGCCGCCACAAACATGCTCTCTTTGCCGCTGCTGTTTGTCAGGATGCATGCATAATCACCGATGTCATCTGCTTGCAGAATTCGGATGGCATCGATCGCTGCAAATCCGGCGTGCCGCTCATGCCATGCTCAGGTGCAACAGGGAACTGGGGCCTAGGCATCCGGTGTGGGCCCGCACTGGGCGGCAGCTGACAGCACACTCAACCTTGGCAGGTTAGGGATGACACTCAAACTTCTCACCGAAGTACAGAAGTCCCTGAGTTGGAGACGAATGTGGCCACTGCACGCTCTTCGCGCAGGAGGATGCAACCCCACCAAGGGCCACCTTGACATGACACTCGAACATCTGCAAATTCATCTCCGGTGGCACAGCGAAAGTCTATCGAACCGGCTGCTCAGCACGCCAATGGTCATTTCTCGCATGTAGCACGGAAGTGTACTGAAAGCTAAGTTCGTTAACGAGCAGACATCGCAATGACAGAAAAGGTAGGCCACACTGTCTGCATGCACGAACTGACCCAGTGCTGTAGAAGCACGTTTAAACACGAAGCCTACGACGTAGTGTGGCACACTGCCTACCTACCTCCTTGGCATCAAAAACCAAATCTTTTCAGCTCGAACGCAAAAAGTGAGGCCGTCCCTGTTCTGCCGGGCTGCACACTGCAAACTTCGTTAACATCATCGCATGCACCGGAGTCTGAAAAGAGCGGGCCCGGATTGCAGCGACTGCTCAAAGGCGCTTCTCTTTGAAGCTTTGGTCTGGGGCGCTCTCGCACAGCATCCCGTGCTCACAAGTCGTCCACGCCCAAGGATCCTGCACTACCGGGTCCATTCTCCTCCTCTTCTGGCAGCAGGTAATCCTTCTGTAAATCCTGGGTCAGGTAGGAAGGGAGAAGAAAAGATAAAATGTGCCACCTTTGCAGACATGGCTCGGAGTCGTCAGCCTCCTGTGGTGTCTGGGGAGGTGGGCAGATGTTCTCGGCCCAGGCCTGCGGTTGAGATAAGGTGTTGCTCTCACGTGTAGAAAGTGCCCAAAGCCTTTCGATCGATATCAATCGGGATTTGACCCAGCACCTCCTGATTCCCAGGCAGAGAAACTCAATAACTTAAGGGCCTGCTACGGCAGTCAATCCTGGCCTTCCACTCCATGCACAGCTTGCAGTCTGCCCGTGTCGCGCACTTGTGGCAGCAGAGCCCCTGCTTGATTTGGCAGGGCTCCTTCGGCATTGGTATTTCCTGTCACTTGAAAACAATTCCACGGTGGGAGATTATAGAGATGAGGTGAAGTGGAGCAGGCACCTGTCCAGGCAGGCATTTCATTCTGGGCAACGATCCCTTTGGAGCAGGAGGAGGCTCTTGTGGCTCTGCACCTGCTGGAACAACTATCGTCAGAAAATCCTCACAACTCCTTCGACATGAGGCAAAGGGAAGCCTTCTCCTTCAGCTCCAGCCGACTCTTCGCCATTCCCTCAGAAGCTCGCATCCAGTTGTGGACACAGAAAGAAGTGACATGGCCTTCTTGCAACGGCTCCTCTGAAGCGCCCGCGATCCCTGAACCTTTCAAGGCAGCAGGAAGGCTCTCCTTCCCGTTGCATCGTGCGCTTGCCTTGCTCCTCTTCCTGTCCTGGCTGAACAGGAGGCGGCGGTGGAGGTGGAGGTGGATGGCACAGTGGATTGTCGTCATCATCAGGCCCACAGAAGGGGGTGTCGCCTGCACCCAAAGGGTCTCGAACGGACTCAGCAGTCACGCTGAATTTGTGGGCTTTGTTGCCTGGTAAGCAGGGCGGCAGTGGTGCAGGCTTCGGAGGGGCGCCCTCCTCCGGCTCCGCAGCACTGTCTTCCGCCGGAGCAGAGACCTCTTCCGGGGGCTTCGCGATGGCGAGGCCCCCGAAAAGGCCCCGCAGAGGCACCACCTTCGGCTCGATATACTTGAAGCCCTTCCTTGGGCGCTGCGCAACGCAAACTCGAAACGTCAGATAGGCACTGGTCTTGAACACCCATGAACTTCGCTCAGCTTCACCTTGCCAGTGTCGCAGTCCACTTTCCAGTAGACCTTCTCCTCCTCGTCCTTTCAGCAATACTGGCATGAAGGCAAATGCATACCGGCCATAACTTAAAGGCATTACAGTTCTCAAACATGCCCTAACCTTTCACTCACCGAGAGAATGGCGGCGTCCTCTGCTGCAAAGGACGTGCTTGCAAAGCTGCTTCTGCATCTGGGCAAATTGGCAGCAACCTCCAACGCCAGGGCTTTGCACCGAAGTTGCATGATCGGCTCGTTTCCTCATTACATATTCTTATTCAGCTTGACTGGCCTGCAGCTGGATTGGTGCACGTAGAAAAGCAAGATGCCGCTTTAGGTTCACCTCGCCACCAGACTCTACAGGCTCGTATATGTGATACAACTATGATCAAGGCTGCTGAGCCTCTGGGTTTGCAACTCTCGGGGGGCTGCGAAACCAGTCTGTGTCGACCTAGGCTGCAGCACCGCTCTGGCGCAAGCCTCGACCATCGCACAATGCAGAGGAAACAATCAATTGATCCATGCAGCTTCGAAGTACGCATGGCCCTTGCTCGAAGGCGGCAGCTCTAGTCCATGCCATTGGCAGCTGCCCGGCATTGCAGGCTTCACAACGCCCGGCTGCTGTCGTAATACGAGCCTAGCTACGATCTCGTAATGCAAAATCACTGCACGAGGGTGGTGGCTTGCGAAGTCGCTACTTGCGGTAAATTCTTGTCTTCATGGTGGATTTTGCAGGGCACCACTGTACCGAGCGACAATGCCCTCCTCGCATCCACGTTCACAGGCCGCACAACATGTACTGAGAGACAGGCCAAAGAATCTTTGAAGGATCTGCGACGCATCGTCGAAAGCAGCTGTCCTGCCTCGGCAGCATTGGGAATCCGATGTCATCCGTGCCTCACAGCCTGAGCCACATGCCCAAGCCCATTGAGATGCCTTGTCCTGGCAGGCTCTACCGGCTTTTCCTTGCGGTTGCATGTGCAAGTCTGAATCTGAAGCAGAACTGTGGCAGCGGCACGCTTTCGAACAGGGCAGAAAGGAAAGGACCAGGCCCGAGGCGAACCTTCACAAGAAGGCCAACCCTACTCAGGACTTAGCGTTCGGTAAGATCGCAACTGTGCTTTCCCCGCAGCCTTGCCGGCGGCTGCACGTGATAGTCGCCTTCAGCGAACATGTCAAAGAACACTGCACCAGCTAAAGCCGCACAAACCTCACACACGTCCAACCTGTGTAAGTGGCAAAGGCTCAATTCCCACTCTGCCGCGCCTCGTCAAAGGAGGCTTGATTGATGTCACGCTTAGCTAGTTTCGTCGTGAATCGTTCTAAGCACCGTTTTGAAGTCAGCCTCGGCTGCAGATCGTCCGCCGGAGAGCCATGCTTGCTGCTACAAGACACACTGTGCATCTCCTTTAAAGTATCCTCTTCGAAGGCAGGCCACGGAAAAAGTGCTGCAGTCTGCCTTCACATCTAAGTCCATTGTTGGTCGAGTGCACTCACGGATCGCTCACCGTCCACTAATTCCATCTTGGCGAATGCGAGTGTATGTCACGGGCGAGGAAACAAGCTGAATCTAATCTATTTCAACAGGCCAGAGGCAGCCACGCTTGCATGTACAAATTGTGCGAGCATGCACGCGTCAGTACATACATAGAGATGCCTACATATGTGTACATGCTTGCATACATGCATGCATGCATGCATGCAATCCATATGTAAAAACGTATGTTGCGCACGCACGCATACACAAGGTACTATGGAACGTATAAAGAGATACGCACTACTGGCAAAACAGCAGGAAGATGACCCCGGAACCATCACGACTTGGATCAAAATCTCGCGTCAGGATCTTGCAGGACTCATTGCATCTGCTGGCTGCTGGTCGCTGGTCTACCGAACCTCATGTAGGGCTCTGAACCACGTGATGAGACATGTGCTGTAACTGTAGTCCCCGTTCTTCGGAGCGTGAAACCGCTGTCTCATTGCCGGTGCTTCCTTGGACAGCAGACGTTCCGCTGAGGATGCACTTTGGACTGTACAGCCCAGTCGAAGGGTGGCCTCACATGACGTTGCCGGTCAGTTTCGCCGCTGGCTCATTGATCAGCAACTGTCACAGGCAAGAGCCCAGGCTCAGAGCACTTGAGACACGAAGACGATACCGGTGCATGCACACTAGCCTGGTTCGTCGAGACTTGCGACTGAGCCATGAAGTAGCGCTCATCTTTTGCCCACCACCTGATTTCATGAAGAAACGTCGTGAGGGTCTCGTGCGTGCAAAGATCACTTGGCTCCAACTTCGCACTGTCGTACTTGGCCGCGCACGACGACTCTCGTCGCAGGCGTTGAGTTTCCTCAAAGTTTTCTCGCACCTTCACTTCTCCATAGACCTCGCAAGTCCATTCGCCACTACAGCCACAGACGTGGGTGGGTGCTAGCTACCAGCAACTGTCAGCAAATGTCCATGACAATACACAACATCTCGTCGCATACTCGACGCAACGTTCTTCTGTCAAAAGGACGCGCACAGAATTCACCATTGGACGACCACCCGCTCACAGGGGGTTGTCACATGGAATGCTTTGCTCGCTAGCAAGTCAAGAATTCGGCCACGACGGGGAGTTGGGTGCAAGTGCGAGCATGCCAGAGCTTCAAGATCAGCTTCAAGAACCCGTCACCAACTGGGCCAACCTGCACGCCTGTTACTGATGACATCTTCACATCCTTCAATGCTGTAGGGTCATTAGCACTGCCATCACTGCGAATCCATCACACTGCTTTTGGAGACGCTGCTCAGTTGCATCGCACATATGCACACGACAGCTCCAAGATCGCTGCTGGATGCTGCACCAGAACTTCTTTCTGCGTTGGTGCCTCCAGGACGCCCCAAGTTGGCTTTCCTCGAGGTGCGGTTGCCAGAAATTGCGTCAGCTCTTAAGCTCTCTCGTCCCTCGCCTATCGAGCCGTAGACTTTTGCGGCAGCAGGTGATCCTTCCAATGCTGCAGCCTGCGACCACAGACTTACGGGGTACCCTGCTGACAAAGGCCACAAGCATGGCCTGGTGTTGCGCAAACTCGCGTTGCAGCAAGTCTTCTCTAGCTCTCTGATCCTGACCCAACTAGATGCTGCTACAAGCTAGGAAGAAACACCAAGGACCAAGGACCAGGACGTCCTCGTTGCCGTCCCCATCGAACCTTCGAACGGAGCCCCAGCCAGGACACAGCCTACCAGGACGCGGCGAGCAGAACAGTCGCTCGAACTTCCCACAAACAAGGCCTGTAAATATCACAGACAAGGCCTGTAAATATCTGACAGATAGACGAAGAGGCAGCAACCAATAACGCAAAGCATTGCCTTGTCGAGTCGACCAGAGCAACTGGAACACAAGCAAGATGGTCTGCTCTGAGCACCGCACGACATCCACATAGATCGCTGTGCTCTGCATGCTGCTCCAATCATCACCCAGCAAACTGCCAAGCAACTTCGGGCAAGCAAAACCTGGAGTTTGCTCTTCCGCTGTCCGCACCAAAACAGAGTCTCGACCCGAGGCTGTTCGTCGAAACATGTGCATACAGCTCCGCGCTTCCTGCTGTGGTTTAGCGTGACTAGCCAAGGACGAGAATCAAAGCCGCTCAGAACCAAAACAGTAACATCAGGCCCCTACGAAACTTCTGATGTCCATATTATAGTATGCCCCGTACTTCCGGCAGTGTTTCAGGCCCTGAGATAAAGTTCGATGCAGCTTCTTGGTGGCGTCTGCAAGTTGAAACTGCCGAAACAAACGAAACGGACAGGCTTCGCAATCAGTATAGTACTAGCCATGCATGGTTTCAAATCTCACCGTGCTGGAATAGCTGTTGGGCCAGCGCCTTGCATTGCGATCTTACTGTACATCCTACAATCTAGGAATGGTGAACGAAAGGTGAACTGCAATGTGCAAAATAATAAGTTTGCCGCTGTCCCGCTTAATGAAAACAAGACCGCGCTTGGGAAATGTCACTCCAATCAGGCTGGTACCGGGTAAAAACCCCATATCTAAACATCGTTCGTCCAGACGAAGCTCCTCAAACTCAAATCTTAAAATGCCTTGTGAACACCGCCATCACGAGCGAAGTTGTTGCAACTATGCTACCGTCCTGTTGCGAAAACCGCGGCAAATGGCCTGGAGAACGGCATGTCGGCAACAGGATCTTCTGCCTGACAAGCAAAACGGTTTCGCTTGGGCGGAAATCTTGCTGATAGCCGCCTGCCTTCTTTCTAGCCAAGCTCCAGCCTGCTACTACCAGTACGCTATCCTTGGTCAATCGACATGAACTTGCTGACACTTGGCCAACAAACACCTTCAACAACCAGTTTCCGTTCCATTTAGCAAAGCATCGAACTAATCCGCGATGCCACAGGTTCGCGCGACATCACACAAGCTTGAGCCACGCAAAACGCGTGCCATCAGTGCCAACAGCAACGAATGTATCCTGACACATTGCCCCAAGGCGTGAATGTGTTCAGGCTCGGCTGGCAGCATCACAAATATCGTGTGTTCCGAAAATAAGCCTGTGTTCTGGAATGGCACGGCTCATCCACAAACGCAGCGATCAAAAAAAACCGCAGTCTTGTGAAGAATGGCCGGTCCACGAAAACTCTCGGACCGTTCAAGTAGCTCCATGCACAGCGGATCTGGATATATGAAAATGCAAACATTTAAATTGTACATATATAGACATGTAAAATACATGGTCACACCCCCTTTGGTCCACCCCAGCCTTTTTGTCAATACTCCTGCGCAGCCTTCTTTCCCAAGATGCATGATCCTAGAGTCCGAATCCATTGCTATTTACATTGTGTTCTGCACTACATGTACATGTCTACCTCACTTGCTTATTCCTTCAAATAATAGGTAAACAAACCGAAACCAGAGTTCTGGATTCTGAGTTTGTCGAACTTCTTAAAATGTACACATGAACAAACACAGCTTCTCTTCTCTTCATAACCGTAAAACAAAAAGGTAAACCCGGCTCCTTAAAAAACATGGAAACCTGCATGCATCTTCATGCTTCCGGGAAGGACAACTTCATATCGTCAAAAGGCAAAGCTTCAGACAGGCTTGCACAGCTTTTGGCACATCGGCACGCTTTTAATCGTGTTGGACCTGCAAGCTCAAAGTTTGCCTTCTTTCGGCAAAATCACCTGGACAGGCTTGCGGGCCCACAGTCACAGACCTTGGCGAATGAGGGACCTTCTTGAAGGAAGGAAAAGTGCCCGGTGCGCCAACAATAACACATCTAGCTTTCCCGCGTCGAACCGTTGCCGCACCCCGCGAACCGAAACAATCCGTTCCGAAAACGGCATCTGGATGGCTTTAGACAGGTGGTAATGGAGCCTTAGTGGTGCCTGAGGAGGTAGACTTTGGTGTGTACGACTCGCAAGAAACACAACAAGTTCAGTCGCAGGTAAGAACCTGGTTTCAACTCCAAGGTAGCTTCCGCTGCCACTTCAACATGGCCGGCTGCAGCATCTGGAAGAATCCCGAAGTCACGGGCAGCTGTCCTGGCCTTCTCGATTGTCTGCGATCGCCTGGAATCTCCTGCGCTCTGATGGAGCCCAACTTGTTTCTTTCTTTGGTGAAGTTTCAGTCGCACGTGTGCCACAACCATAGGACAACGTGCTCTAAATCTTGTCAGAAATAAGGGTGGTAATACTTACCTCCCTTCCTTGGTAAACACGTGGCCGGCGGCAGCTGCTCACTCCTCTTACACGCCAAGGCCCCTCGCTCCCTTGACTGGCTTCTACCCGTTGCTGCTAGCCGTGGCCCGAAGCCGATTATGGTGAACATGTTGCCCAACGCTGGGGCCTGCCCGCACCGGCCAGCTTCATACGGCAGCTTCCGCGGAGTGTCCTCTTATGATCTCGCCCGCCAATGGTCGGACGAGGAGGCCCTACGTGCCTTTCGCCTTCATGGACATGGAGCAGAGGGGGACGAGGAACACCTCCCCTAATTCCGGTTCTCTTCGCCATGAGCGGGCGGGTTATCGCCCACAGCGAGGCAGAAGCCGAGCATGCGCTTGTCCTGTTGCACCTACGACCTACGACCGGAATGGTGGCACAGCAATATGGCGAGGAGGTCGCGGTTACCTATTCGGCCGCCCGGCCGGCTCAAACTGGCCTCGTCGACTACGGCTGTAGCACTCGGTCCCTACAAACAAGCGAACACAAACTACAAACTACAAACTGGCAAAGCGGTAAGACAGAAAAGCGAAGCTCTACAAAGGGCTGCGACGCACAGGCTTGCCGATGCTAGCCGTTCAGCACCAAACTACGGAGTCTCAGCGACCTGTCAGGAGCAACAAAAGAGCCGTCGCTCAGAGTTGCCCAAAACAACAGGTGGAGCCAAGTCCAGGCTCCAGTTGCGTTCTAGTCTCAGCAGACAACGGACAACCCCTGTGTTTTTTTTCCGTCGCGATCGTGCACACCAAAATCAAAAAAGTCCACGGCCCACTGCAGCGTGAGCGGCTAGAGGAGTGTGAAGACACAGTTCGCAGGCAAGTGACCCGCCTAGGCAACGTCACAAGGCGTGCCATGGCACGAAAACGACCTCGGATGCAAATACTGGCAATAAAATGTGGGCAACACCCACACAGACAACCTGCCGGTAGCTGTGGCAATGGAAGACACCATTCGGTGGTGGTAGTAAACTGATAGGTGAAGAAGCAAGCGGTGAAGACCGGCAGGCAGCAAAGCTGAGGAGCAAACATCCTTCCGCTCGAACGTGCACACCAAAGTCCGCTTCGAACACCAGGTGACGGTGCTCCATCGAGGTGCCGAAGGCATGCGGGACATTCCCTGGGGACGAGCGCCGACAGTGATGAACCGATCCCGTTGGTTCCGTTGCAACTGCATCCAGAGCCAGAATTCCAAGGCCCACAGGCCGGCGTGGCCAGCATCCAGCCCTCGGGTGCAACGACATGGGGGAGCCTGCCGACCCACGTCGTTGAGTCCGCCTTGGCAAAGTACGCTTAATCCAAGTGACCCCAGATGTCGCTTGCTCCAAGAAACAAAGACACAACGACGTATGTCGTCGGTCACAACCGGCTGCGGACTAACTGTCTGATCTGGAGCATGCAGATGTGGCATGAGGTCGGTGGAAAAACACGGCAATTGGAGGCCCGGTCCGAGCCTTAGTGGAGTCCCTTAGTTCGAGTCGAGGGCCGCACGTCGGTTGTCTAACGGGAGATGTTCTTGCTTGGGAGCCAAGGACATCTGTACCAAACTCCGTCCGATCATTTCAGCATCTTCTAAAACCCTTCTCCGTACGACTATGAGCGAGCGTAGCCGTTTCGAGGCATCCGCCAAAAGATTGGAAGCGATACGCACGACCGCGATGAGCGCAGAATACTGCTGAGCTGTCCAGAACACTCTTTACTCCAACACAGCATCCATGCAGACAAGTATACACCAGAGGAAAAGCCCAAGATACCAAGCGAGCTGCGTTTGCTAGCACGGGCACCAGGATGGCCGAGATGTGCCAGACCGTCTGGGCTGGCGAGCAACTCAGCAATTTGTTGCCAAAAGGTTTGCCCCATCAGAGCGGCTAGAGTGTGCAGCTCAAGTGGGATCAAAGTCACAAACGCCAGTCTTTGCTGAAAGGGTCCCAAGGATTTGAACGCTCGGCCACCTGATGAAGAGCGAGGATGCGTTGCCTGAGTGCAACAAACTGGGCTGGTGTTAAGTGAGCGGCTGCCTCTACGGCTTGTAGGAAAGCCATGCTTCCGCGAGGCGTCATTGTGCTGCTCGTGGGTTTTACCCTTGACCTTGTTAGGAGCAACCAGTTCAACGAACCCTTGACGAAACTCCATCCACAGAAGACAACCTTCGGAAGGGGTCGATTGCCACTTTGACGATGCGAAAACCAGCCAGTGTCCTGGGATGGTGTGTAAAGCCATCCGGGCACGACAAGCCCAGCACGTATGCCAAAGCTGAGACAATCATCCACCTTAAGCCCACCGGCAGCAGCGGGGAGAAGCGTCCGGTGGTGTCCTAATGAGACGCCCAGTATCCTCAAGAACAGCGCCTTGGCTGTAGACATGGAAATGCAGAATCCACAACACGCTCAAGCGACACTGCATGGAGCACATGATCTGCCACGCGTCGTTGCGAGCCCGGAGCGCGAAATGTGCTGGCATCTGAGCCCCTCAATTGCACCTCAGCGAACATCGAGCTGCATCAAAGGTGGATCGCAGCAAAGTTTCCACCGTGGGCCTGCCCCGCTAATCCGCCACAGCACCTTGCCGTGAGCGCAGAAAGGCTCAAGACCAGCCGAGTTCGGAATTGATGACGTCGACGGAGACTGCACTCAATGGTTTCCGATTTATTTCTTCGCGGCTAACAGTCCGTGCTGGCTTTAATCGAGGCACACATTGCGATTGACACGCAAACTACTGTGCGTCGGAGCTGGAATGAGGTCACCGAGGCTGGTCACCTCCGTTCCTGGTGTCTACCTTTTATGCCCATGTGCGCATGTGATACGAGAGCGTAGCCGCATCGTACGACGAAAAGGGAGGACTCGTTTGGATTGCCAGCTTGCTTTAACCTTTTGCTTCTTGAGAAAAAAAAAGTGACGCAGGTTTCAACGCTGAAGCTTGGAACGTCCCGTGCTCTCTACAATACCGATGGATCTGCTCATCCGATCCAGTGGATGGCGTGCCTGCTTACGAGGACTCCGGTCTAACAGCCAAGCTTCGCAGCCCTTGAACGTTTTTGATTGGAGCCGTCCAACATGGTTGCAGCCGCAATCTGTGCTGCTCAAGTCTTAGAGTCGGTGCGATGGGCGGTCCTGCTGGATTCTTGGTTCGAATCGTGGTCCCATTGCTCTCTGCTGTTTCCGAGTTGTTCAGGAAAGGTCTGCTTCACCAGGCTCTCACTCGTGCACCCACGTTGCCGAGATCATTGGAACCGCTTGGAATCATTGCAAGGACGCTCTTTCCGATCAGTGCTGTGAGCCAGTAGAGGGGGAATGCAAGGGCAAGAGAGACCACAAGGGTAAAAGCGGACGCCTGTTACTTCTCTTGGATCTTGCTCGTGGTGATCTTTCAGTGGCTTCTGTCCGTGGCTGCTTTTCTTACTCACTCTCGCTGCTGCCGAAGAGGAGCTCCAAAATTCGTCGAGGAATCAGAGGATCCTGT